GCGTAGCGCTAACAGCTTTTCGCGCGCACTCATACCGCGACAGTTGTTGGCCAGCGCGCAGACGTCCTCGAACTCCTCGTAGAACAGGACAACGTCTCGCGCGTCCGACTTGTCGTCGGTCAGCGTCGGCCACGTGAGGTCAGTTTTGACCGTAGTTATGGAGCTTTGCCCGCCCCTCTGCGCTAACGCTTCTTTCAGCGCCTCAGTTTGGGCGGCGAGTGCGGCGGCGAGATCGCCCGCCGGGTGTTGGGACCCGGTCTGCGAACCTCCGCCGTCTGAACCTCGCTTCAGGGCTTCTATCTCCATCTCTAGCGCAGCAAGCTTCGCGCGCAAAGGGGAATCGCCGTCCGTCGCGCCCAGGACACGGGCCGCGGAAGGACCACCTGCAACCTCAGCAGTGTGCAAACCTCCACGGTCAAATCCTACCCCCAACCCACTTGCAGTCGCAGGCTGTGGGAGCCCTGGGGAACGCGGCCCCACGGCTTCAACTGGCACATCGGACGGGGAGCTCCAAACCTTCTCTTGGCTCGAGCTTTCTTTTCCCCCTAACGCGAGGATAAGCTCCCCGATGCATTGGATTTCGCGCTGAATCTCCTCTGCGTCTTCGGGGTCCTCGCCACCGCGCAAAGCCGCGACCGAGAACCTGGTCCGCAGCCGACGGACCATCTTCGTAGGATGCCAGTCCCCGCCTATCTTGGAGAACTCATCCGCAAGGAGGGTGGCTTTGGTGCTTAAGGCGTCAAGGTCACGGGAGCTCACCGTGACTCCATGCGCTTTCAGCGCGAGGACAATCCGCGAAACGCGCGTCAAGTAGTCCGCGACCGGTTCTTGGTCTGGACGGAAAATCGCGCGCAGCTCCGCCTGCAAGCCCTCTGCGGTGCCTGGCACTGAACCTGCTGTCGACGGCGGACCGGACGGTCCCGCCGGGCGGGACCCTGGTGCCGTAGCAGGGACATAGGCAGCACCGGTAGGGACCATGGCCAGCTCCCTAGCCGCGGCGCTGACGTCCACCCGCGGCGGACTGTCGCCTCCAGCGCCCGAGGCCTCAGGGACTAGCTCGGAGTCCTCTTCTTCTTCCTCTTCATCCTCGTCCTCCTCTTCGGCGTCATGGAGGAACTTCATGACTTTCCGCCAGAGAGCCGCCTCTTGCTCTGGCGTAGTGCTGACCCCATCCCGCTTGGACAATGGACGGCTGCCAGTCTCCCTACGCCACTTAAGCCAAGCGACGTAGCTCATCCGCTCGGGATAGGGAACGTCTCCACCCTCGATAGCTTCGAGGAGGGTGACGCCCTCAGCCTGACCTGCAACCTCTGCGGACATTGCCGCAACACAAGGCGAAAAGCCGCGCCTTGGTTAGCAGGCCGCAGGCGTGGCACGCGAAGCGCCGCGCCTTGGTTAACAGGCCGCAAGCGTGGCACACAGTCCACGCGTCCAGGTCACGGACCGCGACAGACAAGCAAAGCAATGCTTGCCCACTCGGGCCGTAGGCACAAGAGCTGTACGTTTCCCAGAACAGCCCCCAATTGTGAAGTCGACCAGCACTGGACTTGCACTAAGCCAATGCAATCACAGCCCGGTCACGCTGTTTTACGACTTCGTGAGTCCAAGCACTTGTGCAGCTACGCCTGAGTGCGTCCGGTCGGACCGCACAGCAACCTAGGAGCTACTGTACGACTCTACCGTGCTCAAAGGCACAAGCTCGGTACTTGAGCCAAAATAGCTTGAGCCAAAATATTGGCATTGTTACGAATTGCAAAACTACACATGCAAGGGAAAACTACAAGCTGCACTAGCACTAAGCAAGCACTCCATGCATGCTTTGACCTGCTCACACCGTACCTACGTACCCGTACCTACGTACCCGTACCTACGTACCCGTACCTACGCACCCGTACCTACGTACCCGTACCTACGTACCCGTACCTACGTACCCGTACCTACATACCCGTACCCGTACCCGTACCCGTACTCGTGCCCGTACCCGTACCGGCTCATGGGTTGCTAATAGCAGGCCGCTATTAGCGGCACAGGTACGGGGTACGGGGTGCGGGGTGCGGGGTGCGGGGTGCGGGGTGCGGGGTGCGGGGTGCGGGGTGCGGGGTGCGGGGTGCGGGGTGCGGGGTACGGGGTACGGGGTACGGGGTACGGGGTACGGCTACCCGTACCTTGTACATGTACCTGCCCCCTGTCCCTTGTACCTACCATCCGCCCCCTGTACTCCGTACCCTCATCCTGGCCCAAAACGTCTGCGACAGAGCATTACTCTTAAAGTTAGATAAGCTTAAAGTAAAACACGTTAAGGGCGTGTTCTTCTTGCGGCATGCTCACCCCATTCATCCTGTGCACAAAAACCAGTAAATGAGTTCGTTCTTGTTCCGTTTTCTTGGGTGTTGTGCAAAGATAAGCGGCTGTAAAATCCAGATAGACAAAAACCCAAGAAACACCCCATTAACACTAGAAGTATTTCCGAAACCAAAAAGGCCCGTCCAATTGTGCCGAACAGTCCCCTACCAAAGCATATTGTGTTCATCAAGAGCATTACTTAAAAACCACATTCGTCACTACTTATTAGTCATGAGTCTGTAGTCATTCGTCATCAGTCATGAGTCATTAGTCATTAATCATTAGTCACTAGTCATCGTTTAGCCCTAAAGTATTGATGGTCATCATTTTATTGTTGTTATTCTTCCTTTTGTTCTTGAAGTTGTTATTCTTGTTGTTTTTCATATTCTTGTTATTGTATTGACCGTGTGTGTCGTTGCCCCGTGCCGGCTTTTTCCCCCATGGCGTGGGAGTGTGCGGAGTGCACTCGTGTGGAGTTCACTGGCCGTTGCCCGTTCGCCGCCGCCGAAACCCCACGGCTTCCACAAGTGTCAGAAATGCCAGTGCGCGATGTGCGATTGGCCCGATAGCATCGATTTGTCGTGTGTTGACTCTATGCACTTGACCCTATGCACTCGAACTGTATGCACTTGGACAATTGTATGCACTTATATGGTGGCATACTCACTTGTATACTGCACTTGTATACTGCACTTGTATGCACTTCAACTGCATGGCATTTAAGTGTGTTGACTTGAATGCCATGCACTTGTCGTCAATTCAATACTATACACTTCATTGGAATTCCGCACATCTGAAGTTAACGGTCTTGAACCCGACATCTTTCAACTTAATGCACTTGAGCAACTGTATGAACTTCACTTGTATGCACCCGACTCGGCTGTGCACGTCCAATCCACGCGAAGCCATGAAAGAGAAGCCAAAAGTATCCAACGCGAGAGCCGTCAGCTATGCAGTCGCTCTGAAGTCCAAGATCATAGTCTCTAGCAGGAAGCAACAACTCAGCATGCACGCATGTAGAGCATCCGGTTGAATGTGTGACGGTACATACGCTTTCGTGCTGCAGGCAGGATTCTAAGCAGTGACGTTTCTTTTTTGTCTTGGGCTGGCGTACTCCAACTCGCCTGTTCGCAAGACAGCGTACATATACAAGGCAACCACAGAAAGTAGAAGCATCACATTCGGTTGCGAGGTTTCGACACCCCGGAATCCGAGTCCCATGATATTTGCGACGGTTTCGACATCCCGGAACTCGAGTCTATTACAAATTATTACAGGAATCTTCTTAGGTTTACATTATACATCAGGTATTAATTCAGCATATTTTTCTCTTTTCTTTTTAATTAGAGAAATATATTATGGATGGTGTTTACGTTATCTTCATTCTAATGGTGTATCATTTGTCTTTCTTTTTATATTTCTTCATCTTGGAAGAGCTATATCTTATGCTTCATATTTTTCATAATCCAAATACTTGGTTTTCTGGAATTATTATTTACTTCTTCTTAATGGGAACAGCATTTATGGGTTATGTTTAACGATATTTGCGAGGTTGTCGAGGCCCCGGAATTCGAGCCGGAATTCGAGTCCCACGATATTTGCGAGGTTTTCGAGGCCCCGGAATTTGAGCCGGAATTCGAGACACCGAAAATTTGCGAGGTTTTCGAGGCCCTGCGTTTGTATGTCACAAAGCGCAAAAACACTAGGGTTTTGGCACCTCGACCACGCGGAATCCCGCAGAGGGGTTGCGTTTGTATGTCAAAAAACGCAACAACACGAGGGTTCTTGCACCGCGACCATGCCGAAACCCGCAGAGGGTTGTCCGCGGCGCGCAAGAAACATAAAAAAGACGAGGGTGTTAGCACCGCGACCACGCCGAATCCCGCAGAGGGTTGCAATCCCGATCGACGACCACAACCCTACCCGCCGCCTTAAAAAGATTAATTTTAATTACGAAATGTATGCCTGGGTACGAAAGTCTGCCAAATTTTATTAGAATCTCGTAAATCTCATTGTACGAAATTTTACAAAATCTCGTCAATTCTACTACATCCTTCACTTTGTGCACTTAACTCTATGTTGTTGGGTCAGAGCTCTTCACTCTATGCACTTCACTCTATGCACTTGACTCTATGCACTTCACTCTATGTTGTTGGGTCAGAGGGCTCCGCACGCAAGAACCCTTCGCGATGTTTTCGGGAAAAAATGATTGCTGACATGCGTGGATCCAGAATCGAATCGTTGCTGCTTCAGGATTGTCCCACGGCTGCTGGTGTTTCGGCCATGGCAAGCTTGTAGCCATGATGTTTGTACATGGGGCAGTGCACAGCACCAGCTAGCAATTTCTTGGGTGAAAGAGCGCTCACCACACATCATTTGACCGGCAAATCCAAAAACAATCATTTCCCACGCGCCATGGCAAAAAAGACGTCATCATCCCGAGGCATTGTTCACGTCCTGTGACGTATCACTGCGTGGTGTGAAGTGCGAGGCCGGCTATCATCAAATGGTCAATACTTGCCGAAAAGCGGCGGGTGTTTATCAACATCCCGGGCCGGCAAGCCTTGCTCTTGCGCGAGGGCTGCGCAACACATTCCGTATTGCAAGAAATGTGGCTTGCATGCAGCTGTTGAAATGTGATGTTGTGCACTCCCAATATGTCACTTGATGCCTCAGGCATGAAAAAAGGTGACCCCTCGTTGAAAGCTGTGAAGCATCCTCGATTTGGCAAAATTTTGGTTGCCACGCGAAATTTGCCGAAGGGTTACTATGTGGCTTGGTGGGGTCGGCCCCCGAGCTGCCACACGAATCCTAACGACCTAGCGACTGGTCATTTGTACGGCGCCGAATCTTCAGTGTTTTATAGCACTTTGCGCTGCAGTTCTCATGTCGCTTGAGGCAAGTTGTTGCCCAAGAAGAAGATGCCTCGAAAACGCATGGAATGGGCGTTGGAGACGACGAAGGGCATGGTAGATGCGGTGCCTTACAATGGATCCCTGCTGAAATTCTGCGCGTGTCCAGGCTGGGGGAATCGTTTGGTGATGTTTGTGCCTTGTGTTCTTTATAACATGTTCTTGAGCAGGTCCAAACGAATTGCCCACCATTGACTTCGCACCAAACAGTGCATGGAACCCCAGGGCTGCAAGCCAATGATTTCAACAGCTATCGTGCAGGTCGGCTGTGCGCAAGCATTAGCAGAAAGATCCTCATGTCTTCAATGACCGGGCCGAATGACCGAGGATGTTTTGTTGAAGCGCGGTGAAGACAAGGCCGCAGTGATATTTCGGACATTGCGGCCTATCCCGCGAAACTGGCAGGCCCAAAAAGCATGTGGCTGTCTCAAGCATTCATTCAACGTAGATCGCTTTGGATGTTGCTGTCAGGTGGACATGATGTACAACAAGGATGAAAAGAGTACTGAGGAGTTCTTTCAGGAGCAAGGCATTTGCCGAGGGGATGTTGGCACCAAAAGATACCCAGTGACTTGTCTTGATCGACGATGTTTTGTGTTCCGTTGCCGCAAAGGTTGCGAACCGTAATCTTCAGTGTCTGAGGCAGTGAGGAAGAAAAATGCTGGCCCACCAGTTTGGCTGAAGAAACGGGCCATGAAAAAGGCCAAGACAAAGACAAAGTCCAAGGCCAAAGCAAAGAAGTGAGGATGGAGCGTAGACTCTGGTTACGCGTTCTGCAGCAAATTCCGTAGTCAGGATTCGACCTTATTTTGGCAAGCTTTCTGCTAGTTGCCGATGAAACGAAAGCCAGACACAGAACCACAATCGCACAAGACCCAGTACTCGCTGTCGACCTTACAACACTCAACATCCTCAGCCCAGCCCCTGATGCGTAGCTAGTCGGAGTTGCTGCAGAGAAGGTTTGCAGGTCCCAGCCCATTCTTGCCTTTTGGGAAGGCCAGAAGTGACGCTTCCATATGAAAAGGTGCCTTCACAGCATCACGAGCAGATCTCGCCGCAGATCCAGTTGCTGGACGGCCACAGGGTATGAGTAATGCTGAAGTTCCCTGTAGCGCATGGAAGAATGGAATTCTTCACAGAGCTGCCACACCTTTTTTGGGCTTGGGCGCCCTAGGCGCATGCAAAAAGATGCTGCTTTCACAGAGGCAGCCGGTAGTGACGCAATGGAGCCTAGAGCCGGCGCTACTTCGAGTCCCTCGTCGTCCCAGCAGCACGCTGCTGCCGAAGGTGTGGAGGACCGGACAAACTCCACTCAGAGAAGCTGGACTCATGGGCTTGAGCTTGCTTTGCTTCAAGTGCCGCTCTAGCGCATCAAGCAAGCAGGCGCGACCTGTTGAAGGTATGCATAAGGGTATGCACTATACAGTGCTTGTCGTCCGTTTGGGGTTCTTCCTTCAGGCATACGGACTGGCGCGAGTCCGTGCGCATGCGACAGCCGTTTCCACGACTGCGGACACTCTGCCTGATGTAGCCCCGGAGGCAATCTTGTGTAGAGCTGCGTTGCTGTAGCAGGAACTCAGCGGCATTCAGTGGCTGATATGCATGCCAGGGCCGAGGCTCGTCAGAGAAGCATCCACAACTGCAGTTGAAGCGAGACGGTGCAGGCGGGCTTCATGAGGGCCACATGGGCCAGCGCACATGTTACCACACGAGTCGGGGCGAGGCAACCCAGAAAAGTTGATGATCACAACGCCCCTCTTCTACGCAAATGGCTCTCCTCACATTGGCATCTTGGATTGGCATCATGATGAAGGGCCGAATGCCGCTTAAGTGTTCGAAAGCGTTGTTTCAGAGACTGAGGGAGCGCCTATCCAGCCATCGCATCGGACGTTCTATCTCGCTATGCCAAGCTGCGGGGAGCGGAAGTGCATTACGTGACTGGCATGGATGAGCATGGCGAGAAGATTGCACAAACTGCAGTGACTTTGCCGTTGGAACGTTTTGCTGATATGCTGATCCATAACTCTGTATGAAAAAAGGCCAACAAACGACAGACCGCACTATGACCTAGCCCTGCCCAGAGATGTATTGGTGCTTAGAATCGCAAACTGAATCCGCCAGGCCGACAGCCACAAGACTCCACAAGAACTGGTGGATGGCTTTGCTGAGGAGTTTCAGGACGGGCATGTGCTATTTACACCGAGCTTCGATCGGATGGGATGCGGGCCAAGGAGCTGTGGCACTTACTGGACGTTGAGGCAAACCACTTTGCGCGGACCACTCCTGAAAAACACAAGGCTCGGCTTATCTGCACAAGAACGAGACAACAAGTGTAGTTTCCTCATGTTTCCTCCATATCTGAACATTGACTTTGGATTTAGGATATTGCAGTAAAAAGTACTTGTCTAGCGGTCCTAGCGGTGCAAGGCGATTGTCCGCGAGATGTGGCAGAGGTGCCTGCAGAATGGAGACATCTACAAGCACTTCGGCCCGGATTTTCCCTTGCCAAGGCTTGTAGTTGCATTAGTTGCATGTGAAAGACGATACCGTGTGGCTCAGGAAGGATTACACTGGATGGTATTGCGTGGGTTGCGAAGCATACCTGGACAAAGATGAGATGTTGGAGGGCCACGTTTGCAAGATCCACCAGAAGAAATGTCTCCAACGAAGTGAAGAGAACTATTTTTTCCGATTGTCAAGGTATTGGGATGACATCCGTCGGCACGTAGAGAGCAACCCTGATTTTATTCTGCCTACAAGCCGGCGAAGCCAAATCTTGGTTTGGTTAGAGGAGGACAACAAGCGAGACTTTTCCATTTCACGGGCGAGCACTTCTTGGGGAATTCCTGTACCCGATGATGATTCGCAGGTCCCTAGCAGTTGATTTCACCTTGTTTCGTTAGATTCTAGATCGTTTTGTGGTCCACTCCGGCTTTTCACTACATGCTTCGTGTGCCGTGCGCATGGGCGGAGTGTCCGATGGGAAAGTTCTGGCCATGTCATCTTTGGACACTGGGGGCCGTGGACTGTGCTTAAGGTTTTGCGGTGGTGCTTGTGTTTTCTGTTTTCTGTTTCTGGGGAGGGGCGAGTGAGTTGCCAGAGCTCGACGCAAAGCACGCCTCCTCACTAACAGAAGAAGGATTTATCAAACAAGTGCCCCACACAAGTCGCAGAGAAAGAGAGACGTGCCTGCTGCCGTATCAAACACAGCACAGAGCTGTATTGTGTTTTGGGTGCCGAACACCGAAAGAAGTACCGTAAGGCACCACAATCGGGAAGGCGAGAGTAGTTAGTTGTATTTCACGCGTTTGGATGTATCAGGGTGCTCCAGTTTCTGACGTTGTTGTGTGTTTGACTGCGTGAGCATGAGATGCATGAATCAGCATCGGTGAAAGACATGATGGCACGGATCACATGACTGACAATGGAAGAACTAGAACTGGGACCATGGCTGATGTGCTGTGGGGCTCTGGGGTGTTATGCAGTGACGATGATTCAGACAAAGCTTGGCACGATCTGATGTGGAAGAATGGCTGGCCTAATCCAACGGCCTCCTCAAAATTCCGGCGAAGCAACACCCAACAATCTTGCGGGCCTTTACATGCGTGCCCCTTTAAGTGAAAGACTAATTAATTCAATCCATCGTTTGGCTTCTTTCTTTGGGGTGACCCTGCAAACTCTTGATGATATGTCATGCTCGAGCTCAGCCGCCCAAAGTGGGTTGTTAAGCCAGGAAACAACAATAACGACAGCAGCAACAAGGACCACGGCCACGGCCACGGCCACGGCCACAACCACAACCACAACCACAATCATAACTACAGCCACCAGCAACCACTTCAACAACAACGTCTGACAACGGGCAGAATTTGTGAGGTTCCTAAGCCGCGCCAAGATGAAACGAAGGATCAGGGCGGGGGGGGGGGGGTTGAACTTGTGCGCGATTTCCCATATCCGGACATCCAGCTGTGAGTTTGTTGGGGCACGGCAAGAACTGCAGGCAGATGAAAGAGCAGCGTACACATTCTAACTAGCTTTGTGTCATCGTGGCTTTGAGGTCATATACGTCTGGTTCGATGCTCTTTTGGGGTACCTTTCCTCGCTGCTGAAACCTGACGACCCGGCCACATTGGACATGGTCTTGTCGAGAGGGTGGCCCGCGGAGGTGCACATGATCGGGAAGGACATCATGCGATTTCACGCCATCTACTGGCCGGCCATGCTTATGTCTGCCGGGCTGCCCTTACCAAAGCACATCTGCACGCATGGGTTCCTGACCAAGGATGGCCTGAAAATGGGTAAGTCGTTGGGAAACGTGGTGGAGCCAGTTCCACTTGTGCAGTCTTTTGGTGCAGATGCAGTTCGATTCTTCTTCGCTGGGTGCTTGGCATTCGGCGAAGATGGCGATTTCAGTTATGAGACCTTCATTAAGAGGGTCAACAGTGACGGGACTTGCAGAAAGCTGTTCGTCTTTTAGCTTTCCCTATGGTTCAGGACGATTTGCCTTCACTGCTTTGGCTTTCACAGTAGCTGCAAGGCAACTTGGCCAACGAGCTTGGCAATCTGGTGCATCGGATCCTTACTTTGTCCAGGAAGAACCTGGAGAAGGCTTGCTCCCCCCAGGACTTGGCAACGAGCAGCACGAGCTTGGACAACCATCCCGCAAGACTCCCAGACCCACCCAACAACTGAAGCAGTCGAAACTCTGTCATATTGAGGTACGTCTCGCAGCGCGACGGGCCTCAGAAGAGGTCGCCCGCCACTACGAGCAGTTGGACATCCCCAAGGTGTCTTTTCATCAAGTTGCTGGCAATCCGAGCTTCGGATTTTTAGGGGACCCCGTCCCCTAAGCTGGGAATCAGAATGTATGTAGACGACCACGAATAAGGGGAGAGGGGGAGCTGGGAGTCTTCTCTCTTTCTCTCCTGCCCCTTTTCCTGTTGGCAGGAACTACTTCCTTGCCTTAGCCGCCAGGTTCGGGTCCATAACTAACTAGGTCCTTCTGTGCGGGTGGGGCAGATTTGTGGACAAAATGTCGGACAGGCTGGGCGCGTGGTGCCCCAGTCTTTTGTTCATTCGGTGTCGTGGTCCCAGCCGGTCGGTGTCCCAAAAAGCGAACACACCTCTCCTTGTTTGTTGCCTTTCCTCCTGACGAACTTGTGCCCTCTGGGGCAGTTGAGACTGCGGTCTCTCTGGTCGTCTTTGCTTCCTCTGACGCCCCCCGGATTTGCCCCAGCAGACAGCGGCCTCATGGCCTTGTTTTCTGTCTTGTTTGATCATCTCCATAGGATTTGCATTCATGCCCTCCCCAATATAGCAGAACCTCTAACACGTAGACTCCCCAAAGAGAGGTACCCGAACTCTGCCCCCATTTGTCGGACTGTGGCTCAGAACTGGTGTTTCGTTTGGAAATCTGGCGTGTGATTCGTGCTAGTGGAAATGATACACCTCGCCGCTTTGACCGCCCTCTGACGCACGCAGGCTGTCATGCCACAATCAGCTTGTAGTTGCAGCTTTGAGCATCCAGGCAAAGATGACATGCTGGACATGATGACGGCACCACCACGACAGACACCAGACACCAAACACACGCACCAGAACACTGGAAATGTCCACCCGACAACGACTGAGAGATCGGCCGGACACCGGACACCGGACACCGACCAGAAAACTCACCAGTACAGATGGTGCCTTGGTTGGGACGCTCGCAAAAACTGGAAGGGCTGCCAATGCTGCAAAGGCCTGGAAACTTGTGCATCGAGCATTCTGGCTTGGTCATCCCACCGCAGGTGCGAATTGGAGCCCCTCCTTGCGTCTGCTCGTGGCATGCGATTCGATGTCCTTGCCGGTTGCCAAGGCAAAGTCCTGGCTTTGTTGACTCTTGGGAAACTATGATCCACGGCTATGGAGAAGACTCTTGTCGAATGTTGCCAATGCAGTGGCTAACCGCCCAAACCTTCAAGGCTTGAAGCTTCAGGTGTCAGATGCAGCCTTGCAGGCTTGAGGCAGGTTTCAGCGCTTGGAGCTGCAGCCTTGAAGACTTCAGGATTCAGATTGCAGAGATTGGGGCTGCAGCTTTGAAGGCTTGAAATGCCTGATCTGGTTTCAGAGCTGGGGCTGAGTCTGGAAGGCTTGAAGCTTCAGGCTTCAAGCTTGAGCTTCAAGGGTCTGCAGGCAGGCGTTGCAAGCTAAAGATTGGCGCGCGGGGTCTTTGCCCCTTTCCACAGCATCGGCGCTTTTCTTGTACTCCTCCGTAAGACCTTGGCGATCACGAGTTTGCGCTTGGCTCACGTATCGCATTGGGCTGGCTCTCCGTGCGCCGAATTTTCCGTTTGCACCTGGCCAGACTCCCACGCGGATGGTTCTGGAGGGCTTGAGTGGTCGGCCTTGTCACTTGAAGTTTCGTGAAGTTGGATGTTGACTGGGGTTTTTCGTCATGGCCGAAGGCTCAAATATTGCCCCCCATCTGCAGTTTCCCTGCAGCGCTGGGGAACTTGAGTTCAATAAAAGGTGGCCTGTGGCGTGCCGTGCTGGAGACCACCGCTTGACGTGTTGCCCCATGACAGTTCCATGTTGTGAAGTTGACTCATGGCGGACGACTACCAAAAGCTCAGGATCTCTTTAGCCCTGGCAAGTTGAATGTTGTAATTGCAGGCCGATTTTGGCATAACTACGTGCCTCCAGTGGAAGTTGCTTCAATTAGGGAAAGATTTGGCGGTCGGGGATGGGGCGGGGAGTCTGTTTATGATGGCCGCAAGCGTCAATGATTTTGAAACTGTACTTGGCGATCGAATGTGTGTTGCAGCAAAACTTGCTCCTCATGAGGTGTGCTTGTACTTGTATAGCACCGCTTGCATAAACTAAAGCTCCCGTACTTTAACTTTGTGACGGAGGCGGGCGATGACGCTTGCGGAGCCCCCCTTAGATGTTGAGAGTGATGTTGGCGGCAAGCCTCATGGCAAGTGTTGGTCGAAGCACTCATTCATTCACCCAGTCACCCATTCACCCATTCACTAATTCACTAATTCACTCATTCACTCATTCGCTCATTCGCTCATTCACTCTTTCATTTTGGCCCTCTGTCTAGCCTTTTTGGCTCTTTCCTCCGCTTTGCTTCTCTTGGGCCACACTTTCTTCTTCTGCTTCCCTCCTGGAAGCTTCCAGCAAAACTGTGGCCAGCTGGCCAGTTCCCTCCAGACCCCAGAAGCCCCAACTTACGAGTTGTTTTTCACTCCCCTCCCAGGAACCCCAGGCCTTCCCCCCCCCCTCTTCTGGGGGCCCTTGAGATGCTTTGAGGCCTCGTAGGCCTTGTGATGGCCCTCCACCTTTTGATGAGCGTAAGGGCCTTTGAGCCCCCTTTGAGGCCTTGGGGTATTCGGCTGGACAGTCCAGATGTCACTCATTCACTCATTCACTCATTCACTCATTCACTCATGCACTCATGCACTCATGCACTCATGCACTCATGCACTCATGCACTCATGCACTCATGCACTCATGCACTCATGCACTCATGCACTCATGCACTCATGCACTCATGCACTCATGCACTCATGCACTCATGCACTCATGCATTCATGCACTCATGCACTCATGCACTCATTCACTCATTCACTCATTCATTCATTCACTCATTCACTCATTCACTCATTCACTCATGCACTCATGCACTCATTCACTCATTCACTCATTCACTCATTCACTCATTCACTCATTCACTCATTCACTCATGCACTCATGCACTCATTCACTCATGCACTCATTCACTCATTCACTCATTCACTCATTCTCTCACCCACTCGAAACATGCAAGAGCTTTTCAAATGCCTTCAAAACGCCTTTGAAGACACCAGGCGCCCTCAAAACGCGCAACGGAGCCTCCTGAGCTTCTAAATGTCTCGAAGAAAAAGACCCGGGCACGCAAGCGCAGCCCCGAATATGCCCCCCCCAAGCCCAAACCTCATCCGAATATGTACACGTGTGCGCACGGTGCAGGAAAACGAAAGCAACTTGTGTGACCAAAAACAAAACACATTAGTTTTTCGTAAGCCGCTGAGAGTCAGAACGTGGAAAGGGTACCCAACTTCATTTCTGTCACCCGTTTCCATGAGTTGCCACAGGCTATGGTAGCTGCGTTTGAGCTCGTCGGAGCAGGCAACTTGAGGATGACCCAGGCGCATGACGTGTTCAGCCCAACCATGTGATCTTGTGTTGCTGCTTGTGTGGGACAGGTCGAGCCCTGGGCAAAGTTGAAGAAGGGCACTGACGAAGAAAAGAAAGAGGCAGTCTGTGAGCTGCTGATGATGGCAGAAGGTCCGTGGCCAGTGTTCCTCTGTGATTCTCACTCTTCATGCTTCTGATTCGAAGACTGCCGTCGCTCAGGAGCACGAATTTGCGCTGTGCTGTTGTCACCGGTGACACCTCAACTGAGCCAAAAGATCTTGGAAGAGTTCGGCCTGGGCTCTGAAGGTTGGCTTGTCCTTGGTGCCCTGCCGTGCGCTTTGCAATGTACATAGCACGAACACGACGGGTGCAAAGCCGGCCCAAAGCTTGCGTGTTTTTCTGGAGCAGGCGACTTGTCCTGGAGTCAGACTGCGTGGTCCTGGGATGCGAACTTGGGCCGCAGGGGAGGAGGGTTAGTTTCGTACTGCCATGGCGTACTGCCATGCTATGCTCGGCAATGCTCAGCAACTAGGGCTGTGTCGCTTTGCAACTCGACCACAAGCACCATCAAACACCCAGGATTCCTGGATTAGCAGCTTGGGCCTGAGTTGGGCCCCAGGCCGACATCGTGTGACATCGTGTGACATCGTGTAACGCAAGCTGATATCATCTTGGTAGCTGCCAACTTACACTCAAGGCTGGGCCGAAGCCAACGCCGGTCTTTCAGAGGATTGACCTTGAACCTTGGAAAGGCAAATGAGGGGCTAATCATACAGTATCAGCTGTAAGGAAAGTATTCGTGATGTGCATACCATCTTCCGCATGCCCAAATGGGCTGATGCGCCTCCTGCAAAATGTGCTGACAAAGCCAGCAGGGCATCGTTTGAGCCAATTTTCAAGGCGGGTCGGAACAGGAGCGAGCAACACCATGATGCCTGCCTGCACCTGTCACGTCAGCACATCATGTATTAAAGTCGAAACACAGCTACATCGTGATGTGCGCCGATTCCAATTTCTTACAAGCATGAGGCTTCCCAAGGGGGGAAGGTTGGTGATTTTACTTCGCGTCCTTTTGCAATGGCTGCTGCTGGTGCGCTTGTCGCACCGCGGCGGTTTGCATTGTCAACGCTCTTGAGGGGGCCCCTCGGCTTGGCAGGAAGGTCTGTTTTGACGACTAAGTTTTGTCGCAGTTGTCCTGGTTCAGTTCCGGACCGAATCGAATTGTTGCTGCTGAAGGTTGAGAAGCAGCTCTTCCCGGACAATTTGGGCCATGATTGCAGGTGGCATCATCGCCATGATTCTCAGGTACCTGCAGGACGTTACGTTACCATTGCGATGCTTCGTGCGCTTTGTGGCCTGCTTGGGCTCGATTTTACACATTTTGTTGAGGACGTCTATCGGAGGTTCCACAGACAGGAAGCTGAGTCACTGTGGCGTAGACATGTGGACTTGAGTGTGGTCCAGGCACGCGGGTGCGTTGTGCCACAAATACCGTTGAGGCGCATGGAGACAGCATGTGGATAAGATGGAGATAAGATGGAAACAGCATGGGGATAAGATGCAAACAGCATGGAAGCAACATGGAGATAACATGCAGACAACATGGACACCACATAGAGACAGTTTCAATGTGCCATGTGCTGCACATCCACGTCCATGGTGTGCCCGATGCGTTTCATGATCTCTGATGGTCCCTCAAAAGGTCACACTCAGAGTGAAAAGCCTTCTTGGCTGACCATGCGCCATCTTACGGTTCTCCACTTGTTGACGGCATTGGTCGTGTTTCTGGCGTTGTGGTTGAGTCTTACAACGATACCCAATGCATCTTTGGAACTTGCTCATAGTTGGATCATGTGTTTTCTTTTGCTTTTGCACTGCTTTACAGGCTATACACCATCCTCTTGTCTCCTTCGGGCTTGTAGATCTTCGTTGCCAGGACATGGCATTGGTTTGCTATGGCCTAGGGCGAGACTATTCCATTCGTACTGAGTGTTTTTTTTGTCTCTTTTGCTGTTCTCAGGGCTCTGCCAGTGAAAACCTTTTTGGAAGGCAGTCCTGCTCACCACCGAGCACTTGAAGTCTTTGGGCCGTGTGGAAAAGCGCACGCTGTTTGTGAAGCCCATCACAGAAGTCTTCAAGAACGAGTTTGTGCTGGCCAATGTTCTCAGCACTGCGGAGAAGGCGGTTGCCAAGAATGAGCCGTTCCTGGTTACACAGATGTCTCAGGAGGACAAGTGGCATGTGCTCACTACGTGCACGAACCACTTGAGTTCTTGCTTTGCTCCGTACCATGTCTTTTTCAATGAGGCTCGTCGTGTTGAGTCCTACTATCAGTCTGCATGGTATGTCTTTACTTTGACTTGTGCTCAGACTGAAGAGTCTGGGCGTTGGTTCATCACACCTCTCAAGCCTGTGGGCAAAGATGACGTCGGCATGCTTCGCATCCGCATCGTCATGATGAACGAGCAGGAGCTGCGAGAGATCGCATCTGGCGCCATTGAGCCGCCGAGCTTCGGCTTCTTCAATGGGTTCACGCCTCAGGAAAGCGTAGGAAGCAGAGTTTCCCAAAGTGCAAGCTGCTTTTTAAAGTTTCTCAAGTGCCAATGGCCCTCTCTTCCTTGGCTCCAGGCGCCACGAAAGCCGATGGAAGACTTGCCAGCGTTTTGCCGAGCTCTTTGAGCGACAGTTGACCAAAGTCAGTGGCCAGAGTGATGTTGGAGACGCCGAGTGGGGTCCCAACCTCTGTGGCAGACTTTCGCAGGCACAAAAGAAGAAGGCGGCCAGCAACCCTTTGCTAGCGGCTATGGCCGATACGTCTACACAGTACCCAGCTGAAGAGAACTGCATTCTGCGAATTCATGTGCCGTTCCCTGCGGGCCGTTTTGCAATGGAGAAGTCAGACTCACAAAGACGTTTAGAAGAGTGCGTTTCCAAGGATGTTGTGCTTTTCGAGTAGCACATGTGCTTCCGACCCTTCTGGTCGCAGTACGCGGGAGGCTAGCATGGGAGGGATTGACAGCCGCGCTTTCCCCTGTCTCACAAAGCGGCTCCGCCGAACAGCCCCCGCTCGTATTGTTTCTACCATGTTCCTGCTGGGCCCAGCCCAGCTATCGCAGAGATTAGCAGGATTAGCAAAGACGAAAAAGGACAGGCGTGCAGCATCGTGCAGCCGCTGAACATGAAGCCGGACTGTGCCAATGTGCCAACACACTGTCGAGCCGCGCCTGCCAGCATTTGCGTGGTTCATGCGGGCAAGATCCGGGAAGATGCGTGCCGCCCCATATCCTTCTTGGGTTGAGACCTCTGACAGCAGGCCAGGCTGCTCAGGCTAAATTTTGCTTCCAGGATGTCGAAAAAAACTTGACCCGTCTTGTATCGGATTGTTCCATGATTTTCCAGGCTTTGGGGCGGCTCCTCGCCCAGCCGCCCCAGACAAGCTCCAAAGAGCTTCTCCAGTTTCAGGGGCACTTCAGCGCTGGCGGTTCTGCCGGCTTCAGCAGCTTCAGCGCTCCTCAGGAGGTCGGGAGCCTGAAAATCAGGTAGATGCCTTGCGCACTCGAAGTCTCTCATCGCACTCTCCTTCTTGTCCAGATCTTGCCGCAAATCGGTTGGAGGCGGCATGCTCTCACCTTCGTGCTGCCTTATTTTTCAAAACAACATGGAAGTTGATGGAAGTTGAGGACTGCGATGCCCGCGATGTTTGAAGCTCAAGGAGGCCACGGAGCGTTTGCAGCGCGCCGGCACAGGTTCTAGCAAAAAGTTGTGTGCACCGGAGAGGCCAGAAGAGTCGCATGCCGGGCGGAGGAGGATGAGGCCTCCCTGCCAAGCGAGTGCATGCCTAGCGGGCCTAGCGCCTTCTCCAATTCTGGTGCCAGTTCGTGCAGAACATCAAGGCGTTGATGCCTAACAAGGACGTCGTCCTGGCAGGGGACAGATCAGCTGAGCAAGAGGAGTACATTGGTCTGCAATTGTTCGCAGTGAAGAAATCAACGGGCGCATGGGGGTTTCCGTGTGCAAGAATGTTCGCAAGCATTTTGCAGCGAGGGGGTAGGGCAGCTTCAGGCAGCCGAACCCCTTGGTGTTTTTTCAGGTCTGTTCGTTGGGTAAGTCTTTCTGCGTGGGGGCAATGGGGGTTTCCGTGTGGCACATATTCTGTGCCATTTGGGCACGGCTAGTTGCGGCTAGTTATGTGTTGATGATTGGGCTTCCTTCCAACTTTCGTGTTCTGGGCTTCCTTTCCTTGGATGGTGGGTTTGCAAAAGGAGAAGATCAAGGCTGGGGTCCGCTTGGGAAGGCTCGCGATGTCGCCAAAAACTCAAGAGTTCCACTTGAGATACACTGGATAAAAGTCACAAGCCGCTAATTGTCTCAGGCCGCCCAGGGACATGAACTTTTTTTGATTGGTCATTTTGCCATTGAACGTTGATACGCACAGCCAAGCTCGAGGCTCGTTGGGTTTGTCGTTCTTTTCAGGAAAGAACATGCAGGGAGCAGGCCATCGCCCTCAAGATGGCAACGGCCCTTGTTCTCGGCCCTCTGCCCGGGTGTTTCTGAAGGTAGCCCGCCACTTTGGACTCGGCGGAATTCATACAAACAAACAAGGCAACACCCTCCTTCCTTTGCTCTGCAGGCCCTCCTGCAATCACTGCTTTGGGAGTCAGCACATTGCCGAGCACCATGCGCCAGCGGCGCCGTCAAGAAGGTCGTGTATGTCATTGATCTTGGAGCTCCAGTTTCTGAACACAACTTCTGCAAATCACTGCCCATCACTGCCCTCAAAATGTCGGTGGCACGCGCTATACAAGTCCAAGATGTCCTCAACGTAGTTTCCTCGTGCTGGCCGTGTGGCCGTGTGGCCGTGTGCGACACATCCCCGCATCGCCGAGGCTTTCTGGCCTCCTTCCTGAGCATGAAGAATGCATAAGAATGCTCATCCATATTCAAAACCAGCTGTCAATCTGTCAATCTTCGTTTGCAAGGGAGAAGCTTTGCTCTCAGCAAAATAAAGACGAGAAGCGGAGGGTTTTTGGGTTTTATGGGCTCAGTTCCAATTTCCCACAAAGAATGGATCAGGCGGACTTCCGCTGCTTGTGAAGATCAAGAAGAACTCTTGTACTTCTCAGGGAGTTTCCCATCTTTTTAGAAATAGAAGTTGCGTGTCCAGTTCTTTGGTGATATTTTCTGAGATGAAGCCTCTGGGCTGTCTTATGAATCACAAGACATGGGAAGCCATCGTCTCAGCAATGAGATCCTCATGAAGCCATCAAAACCTCGCTTGTCCAGAAGAGCTACTTGATGCTTCCCCTCCCCACTCCCTTCCAACCTCTCAAGCCGATGACGTCGCCCCAGCCACTGCCATGCCTTCGTCGGTACCAGAGGGGGGGGGGGGGGGCGGGCTTTTGCAGGGTTGCCCCGTGCTCGCCACAAGTTGGAAGGTGAGGGGGCACAGGCGCAACTGGGGCAAGTGGGGCAAGTGGGGCACGTGGGGCACGTGGGGCAAGTGGGGGCAGACAACAGTTAGCGGAGCAGGTTAGCATGCGCACTGCAGTGTGGCGCTTCGCGCTTTTTGTATCGCATATGAGCCGCACTCGTGCATTGCCACAGCTATCTTAGTGATGTTTGATGTTGCTGAGGGAGCTCCAGCAGCTGGCCCGGGAGTATTTGGAGGAGCAGGGGATAGAGTTGGATGAGATGCCAGGGCCATAGCGTTCTTTCTTGCCGTCATTGAGGTGCAGTCTGCAGTCTCTAGGCCGAACTTGTGCCCTGCGAGGAACGTCAAGGTTATCGGGTTACAAGATAGTGCGATGACTATGAAAGATGACCCGGAGCAGAAGTACCGAACGGACAAAACACTAATGATGGAAGCTTATGACCGTGGTGAGATACAGCTCATGGACAAGACATGTGACCCGCTGGATGTACGAAGAACTTCTGTTGGTCATAAGGGTTCTGCTTCTGTAGGGAATAAATTTCGTGCCGCGCGGTGGTTTGGCCCTAAGGTACTGATTTGCTGGCTGTCAAGCCTCACGATGCGGAGGTGTGGAGAATGCTCACCTTGGGCAGGCTCCGTCTCAAGCGCCGAACTTAGCTCAGGAACTGACACTGCAGGAAGCTCATTCCGTCATCGTCATCCTCAGGGTTCACCTCGTGCCATGTGAAGAAGGGAGAACAAAAGGAGAACCAAAGTCATTCGTTATTTCGGGGGGGGGGGGGGGGGGGGGGGGGGGGGGGGGGGGGGTGGGTGGGGGGGGGGGGGGTGGTGGGCGAAGTATATTGAGATATTGAATTAACAGAGGCATACCGAAGAGCTGCCAAGAGTAGGCTTGAGTAGGCAAATTGCCAGAAATCATACTCATACCCTCCAAAAAAGTCAACAACTCATCTTACGAAGTGACGAGAGAGATTGTGGATAAGAGCGGGGGGCAACCTATACAAACAAAGGACAAGCAACCTGAAAACGACATGCAAAAGGGATAGTAGACAGTCTTACAAACCAAAGTCGTTTATGCTAAAGAATCCAAATAAGAAATAACGGATGTAGTTGGCCATGTCGCTGGTTGTTTCCTTCCTTGTTCCAAGCTCGTGTTGGTTGGGGGGTTGGTTGCAGTCCATCTTCGCAGTTCCTATTGGTGGGGGGGGGGGGGGGGGTTGATGGATTTGATAGCCTCAGTTGTACGCCTGCCCTTTCGGTGCAATTGTTTCTTAACTTCTTTGGGGGGTGGGGGGGAGTGGGAGAGGGGGGATTGGTTAACCATGATGTTGCAGAGAGAACACAAATTCCGACCGTGTGCATGTCCAAAGCACGAAACCTTTTCGACAAACGAGTTTACTCCTGGCTGTGGCGAGATGGTCAGAAAGTATCTGTAGTGTCGCCCAGCGATTTTGCAAGAACGCTGGCAGGCATCTTGCATTGAAACCCCAAAACAACGTGACACAACAAAATAGTTTCGGCACCCTGAAAAAACTGCTCTCTTGCTCCGTGCCCGCCTGCCAGCAGAAACACACTGTGAGGAAGAAACGGTCCCCAGTAAAAAAGGGCGTGTCAACCTAGTGGCGCATCAACCTAGTGGGCATAGCAGGAAGTTCAAAACATCGTGGAAGACAGTAACTGCATGGATGAATCTAGCTCTCCGCTTCTTGTGTCGTAGTTAACACATCGCCAAGAGCAGGAGAATATTTTCGACCTCTTAGCAGAGTCCTGCCGCGTAACGCAGAGGGACAGCAATTAATGGGGATATTGACAAGTACGTATGTGAACAAATGAAGTCTTTACAAGCGAAGAAGTTAGAAATTTATGGGGTGTCCAAGAAAGATGCCTGACACGATGTGAAAGCAAAACTTATGCCTACCCTATTGAAGCACATGACGCTACTGCGACACCGGGGTATAATGATGGAGGCATTGTTTATCCAAAACTGACCCAAGCAAACACAACAGGAATGGAACAAGGCAAGTTCGGAAGAATTTGTCAAAAGCCTATATGCGGATTTGTAAACTCAGGATACAACCCACAAGTCCCTTATTGTCCTCCTGAATTGTTTCTTTTGAAGTCGTCGGCGGCCCAATGGAACCAGCTGTTGGGCGGCAGTGGAAGGAGCAGATCAAGCCTTGATCAAGCAGCAGAAAATCATACACACGGAGTTTCTGCATTCTTAGAACACTACCACGGAAGGGTGTCTCAAGAAATTAGTTGAGCCAAGTTCAGAAGCCGGAATTCGCAACATCAATTCTTTCTCACAAACCTTCACAGCAGGAAGCGCTGAAATTAATGTGAATTAAGAAAATAAGATGGAATCATGTCAATGGCCGCGACCATTGATAGTTTTGAAGGAGTGATTGACAGAGGTAAACAGATTTTAGCACAAATTGCAATCGCAAACAAGAAGTTTGAAGCATCTCCGAATGTATGTCTTTCTTACTTATGCCATGCGGTGAATGTTATGTCTCCATGCCATGTGGCCTTTCCATCGACATTTGCCGTGTCAACATTTATGATATCAGAGCACATCTTTGACTTGTGCAGGGCTTGGTTTGATAAATAATGGTGTAACAGCGTATGGGGGGGGACAGACTGGTGTTGACTTGCTTGCGAGTGGGGTGTTGTGCTGCTCTGGTGCTGCGCTGGAAGGCTATGGGATGTTGCGCTGGAAGCAGCTCGGCGCTGGATCGCATTTGAGCCGCACGCTCTCAACCCACGCTGTGCCGAAGCCTTCGCACAAGCAGGGACCCAGGTAGCAGCGCTGTAGCCGATTCTTCGATGCTCTTCGTAGCCGGATTTCCACAGTGTTTTTTGGACAGGAGCCGGACAGCGTGAAGGAAGCGCGTGTTCGATTCGCGCAGTTGTACAAAGAAGTCACGGGCATGAACTCCAAGGGCGAAGCCGGCGAAGGCCTCAAGCGGATGCGTGCGATGCGTTCTATGACTTGACTAGCTTTGCGTCTGTTGCCGTTGCACCCGAAGTTTGCACATTGAATGGCGCTCAGGCGAGGGTGTTCGCAACGTGGCCGTGGAGCTTCAAGAGTGTGTTTGGCGATGCGATGAGCTTTTGGAACATGGCAGGGCAGAGGAACAGAAGCAGGTGCGGGCGAAGCCTGACTTGACCGGATGTTTTCCTCAAATTTAGCTTTCCCTTTGCATGAGATGATGTGTAAGAGACATGGCATTGCGGCCCTTGTCAGCACTCTCCGCAGGAAAGCCGCCCGTGCAATCTGAGCGCTCGCCCGGCCACCGTTCTCACTGGAGCCAGGTGCAGTGGCACTCAGAAGGTGGACTTGGGCTTTGTGTGTCTGTGCAGGCCACCGCATTATTTCCTGCCGAACTTTGCGAATTCCATCGGGCCCATAAGGGTGGTCCAAGCAGAGGTGGAGGAGCTTGGAGGGGGCGCGCTTCATCCTCGCAAGATCATTGTTACCAGGGATGTGGAGGCTGTCACGTCTTGCCGCTGTGTTGCACGGTACGTGCTATGCCTGAGTGCTGGCCAGGCAGGTGAGCCTCTGTTCGTGCAGAATGCTTTGGCTTTCTGCGCCGTGGACCAGGCGGCTGGGTGGCATCAGTTCTCCATGCCTTCTTGTGATGTGCATCTCAGGCAGGGGATACCGTGCGGCTGAAGACATCCTTGGTCACAGCTGCAACATTGCCAAGAACTCGGCCATCAAACAGCCAGTGCCACACTGCATGTATGCAAGAATGCTTGCCTCAACAATGGCCAAGGTTAACTGGGAATTAGGTTCTTGGGTAAGGCTGTTGTCGGCCACAGCCTGTGGATCTGACAAGCGGAAAAGCTAGTGACAGGATTCGGCTTGCAGACGACAAATGCATTCATGGCTCCATTTTCAGAAAAATGGTTTGGAGCTTGAGGTTATCGGAGAAGCGTATTGTGTGTTTGTGGTTTCACCACATATGGAAAAAAGGCGCGGCACTTTTCCGTTTTTCCGCAATCAGAATCTTTAGAATCCGAGAATCCACCGAAAAAGGCGCCTTTTTCCGTACATGGGGCTCGCAGATCTTTTTTCTCCGTGACTGGGTTTGCCAAGTAGCACGGACTCAAAGTCACCGCAAGTAAAGGCTTCAATTTCTCTTTTAACTTTCTTGCTTCTTGCACGCATCTTTCTTGCTTCCTACGCGCAACAATTCACCATTCCAGAGTCAGCGGAAAGAGGCGCCTTTTTCCGTACCTGAGGGGTCACGGCAAAGAACCCTTCTCCCATGAATCGGCAATGGTGGTTGCGTAGCACGGGCTTCACAGAAGGAAGCTTCCAGCCATTGTTCAACGTTCCTGGTTCTTACACGATGGCTTCCCGAAAGAACGCGCCCTTTTCCGTCAGAGTCCACGGGAAACAGGCGCCGATTCTCCGTACTTGGCAGACGGCAAAGAGCCATTTTGCCGTGTATAGGTAAAGGAAAAGCACAGTACTTACGTGACCTTTGGTTACCTGTCCAGCTTCAATCCATTTTCCAATTTTTGTTTCTGAACGCGTCTTATGTCCGTATATTCATATGGGAGACACGGAAAGACTCTCCTTTTTGCTTTGCTGGGTTTGCTACTTTTTCTGCGATCAGAACCCTCAGAATCCACGAAAAAAGTAGCACCTTCTTGCCGCGCATGGGAGTCATGCAAGTTTTTTCTCGGTGGCCGGATCCGGGTCCTTTCACACTTTTGAGCTGAGCAACTTTATTATCCGAGAAGATTCCTCCTTTGGGCTTCCTGTTTGCTGATCGGTGAGTTACATGTTCTGTCGAATTTGCTTACACTTGGTTGGCACCTCCTGCTTTGCAAACGAAACAGTTGCAACACAAGTGAAGTGGTGACATGAATCTGACAGGTCTGCAAGACAAGCGAAGCTGATAGACATTCTGCTGGACCGCAGTGAGTGGGATGAATCTGACAGTGATGCTGTGATGGCAGCCCTGGATGACCCAAAGGCCTGATGCCAGCCCGTCTCGTGTTCTCATCAGTCCATGCTGCAGTGTTACGCAGGTCGTTCGTGGAGATGGTCCATGGAGCTCAGATGCGGAATCCATGATTGAGCACTTCCAGGCAACTGCCAGACAATTCACGACAGTCGAAGAAGCTTCGTTTGCAACTTGAGCCTGTGTTTGCAAATTGGAGGGGGGCGGCCCCTCGATTTATACAAGCCGTGCAAGCTTGCTTCAAAGCATAACATGATGTTTTGAGAAACCCGTCATGCAAGCAGTGGGGCAGGGCTGCGCCGCCCCCCAATCCCCCAACCCATCATGCGAGCATTGTGTTTGCAAATGGGGGTGGGGGGGGGGGCTGCGCCCACCCCCCCCCCCACCCCCCGCTTTTTTATGCCGTGCAAGCTTGCTTCAAAGCATATGACATGTGATTTTTCGAAACCCATCATGCGAGCAAATTGTTTGGCAAATGGCCCCCCCACCTCTCCCGATTTGGCAAATACAATCCTCACATGATGGGTGTCAAAGCAAATCATATGCTTTGAGGCAAGCTTGCCTGGCTTAAAATCGCGGGGGGATTCGGGGTTGCGTCAAGCTTGCTTCCATCATGCAAGAGTATTGCGTTTGCAAATTGCGGGGGCTGCGCCTCCGAGAGTTTGTAAGACGGGAATGGAGGTCCTCTTCGGCAAAACCAAGGAAACAGAGCCAAAATTCAAAGGTCCGTAGACACAGGGAGGCTTTCCTGTCAAAGTCAAGAGGAAACAGAAGTTCTCAGCGATGGCTCAGAGGGCAGCCCTCAGCCACGACTAGGAAAAAATGCGGTGGCTGCCGTGCGTTTTGTTTTTTCTGCCTGGGCCATGGCTGACCGGCCCTCAGCCACAGCTGCGGACGGCTGCCGTGTTGTTTATTTGCTTAGCCTTTGCTGAATGTGTCTCAAATGCAGTGGACAACGTAATAAGCCACGGCTTCACAAGAGTCCTTTTGGCCACTGCCAGGAAAAAAGCCCGTCCGCCGTTCAATGATCGCTATTGCTAGTTGTACCCAGAAGCTGCGTGAGAAGAAGCCAAGCTGCTAAATCTAACCTCATAGGCTCAGAAATGGCCAGGTCTGCGAACAGCTCGTCCTTGAGGCCGAGATCCTGACGGGGAAGAATTATGCTGGCATCTGGTCGCCGGGGCCTTATGCAGGCAGTATGCTGCCACGGTCTAACGGAAAAAGGGAGCAACGAACGCCTGAAGTTCTAAAGCTTTAAGATCGTGAGCTGGTGGTGTCATTGCAGATCTAGCTTTGAAAGTTTTGATTGACAGCGGAGGGACAGAAAGAAAGGGTAAGCTTGGTTTGATCAAGCTTGCTCGAGCAAAGGCTTCCGGCAATGGCAAGGCACAGCTGCACGCCAACAGGCCCAGTATCACCTATGCTTGGACAATCTTGGACATGACGTCGGTATGTTTCGATTCGCATTGTCAGCTGCGTTCTCATGACTTGGGCCAGCTGTCTACACGGTTTGGGGCGACGTCATGGTTGCGAGATCTTCGCGGCCCCTGCAAGCCGGAGATGAGGTTCTTTTTGGAGTTGTCCTGCCGTGGCTTTCCGAGTTTATTGATTGGTACATGACGTGATTCATTCGCCCCAGGTGACGTTCGGCTTCATGGACCTTTGGTTTCCTCTGGAAATGCGCCAAGAGAAGTTCACCACAGCCGGCGGTGGAACCGGCTTCTGGTGTAGGTGCCCAAGACACAGAGAACCGGTAAAGGGGGTAAAGTTGCCAATTGTCAGGTGTCCGCGCTGTGAGGCAGAGGCTTCTTGGGGCTCAGCTGCTGTCCGGGCCTCGTGAAACAAGGTTCGTGAGGCCAGGGCCGCAAAGCCTCGGGACTCGGGCGACTTCGCCTTTGGCGCCACTGCATGTCTGATCCAAGTGTGGAGAAGTATGGGTTTTCCATGGTTTTCCCACATTTTTCCTTATGGTATGTTTTCCCACTTAGGCCGTGGCTTCGGCAGACCTGGAGCTGAGGCGCGTGGAGCTGCCCTTATGATGTCGGGGGTGTCGTCTCCTTTCGTCTTTCGTGATTTCGTGCGGCATCTTGGGCCTCGTCATCTTGCAAGGTTTGAGAAGCAGCAAAGCAGGGTGGAGGGAATTCTGCGCTCACTCGATCTGAAACTGGAAGAGAAGCGACAGGCACTGGAAAATTGCTGGAGACTAGGGGGGCCTTTGTCCTGAGTTGAAATTTTGCATTAAGCTGAACTCCAATCCTCGCCACCTGCACAAGAACATGCAGAAGCAATACGACGCCATCCGCGACGGAAGCTTACTGCTGTTGGTAGCCCTGCGAGACTCGACATCTCCAAGCTCTGCCGCAAGTTGTCTCTCCCAGGACAGTGACGCGCAGCGGACTGAGTACGAAGAAGGCGTGAGCCATGTGAAGCTAATGTGCAATGTGATGGCAGTGCGATGCCAGCGTGATGAAATTTATGGCGCCGCCCACTGTTCTGGCCATATTTGGTGCTGCGTGGAGGTTTGCTTGGCCTGGCCGATCGCTTCGGCAACCTGAAGGGGATGCCAAAGGACGAGGATATCGAGGAGCTCCGCAAGTTTTTCCCGGAGAACAACGAGCCGGAGCTTCCCGCCTTTGAAGCCAGTAAGCCAGTAAGTGTGTCAAAATGTGTTTTCATCGCGAGATGCAGTCATTACAACTATTGAGAGCCGTGCCCTGGCGACGGAGGATGGTCGAGGTGCGGGCCGACTTGGCTAACGATTTGGTGGATGCGATCATCACCTTCGAGAAGCAGGCGAGCAATGCAAGCACAATTATTAGCACAACTGTCAGCACACTCGTCAGTACAATGGCCAAGAAACCGTACATTGGATTTTTCACAGACCCTCGGCCCCAGGTCGATGAGATCGGACTGCCAGATGAGCAGCGATACTGGCTGCTGTCGAATCATTTTGCATCGTGTCTAAACGAGTCGGGTAGTCATCGCTATGATGAGCTGTGGTATTTTGGGTCAGCTGATCAGATTCAGGAGTGTGGCCATGACTTCAGACCTTCAGACGCACAGACTCGGCCCGAGCCTTGAGGCCCAGTACAGCGAGCTCCTCACCCTTTTGCGCTTACGAAGGGATGTGGAGGTGCAGCAGTTGTGGCTTCTTTTGTACGATGCTTGTACTCTGCTTTGCCGGCGCGTGCTGGTGAAGCTTTGAAGGCTCAGCGCCGGGTGCTAGGAGGCATCTTGGAGGCGGTCGGTGCCCGAGCCACGTCGAGATCTTGCGGTTTGGGAGACTGTTGGCTGACTTGGTTTCTTGACTGTTTCATTGCTTGATGTCATTGATGTTACTTGGTGTTACTCGGTTCGCCTCGAGGTGGCACACACGCACCCGGGCGGCTTTGAACACCAGCGACTCGCTGTTCTTCTCTGGGAGGCTGGGAGCGGTTTGCTCTCCACTGTGCGTTTTCTATCCCAACATGAAGCACTATCTGCGCATACATATCTCCACACCTTACCACGACTCATGCCACGACTGGAGTGAAGAGCTTCAAGAACTCACTCTCCGGTTTCAGGGCAGGGTGCAATCGTGGCATCCGGAGCCCTGCTTTTGTCCTTCAGGTGTCAGCCCAGTGCGAAGATCCGACCCTGATGCGGAAGGTGCACAGAGCCCGAGGTGGAGCGAGTGGAGTGAGCGTAGTCTGAGTCCGAGGACCTTGTCCGGGACCTTATCCCGAAGGAGTTGGACAGAGTTCGGGAGGCGATCAAAATCAGATATGGCACCGACCTCGCTTACCTCGCATGGCAAGTCCTCTATTTCCTTGTCTCTGTGCTGTTGGTTAGGTCGAGACCTAGACGACACTGAAGCAGCCTGACTGCAGGGAGACATTTGCCGTGACAAGCAGTGAACGTTTCACGCGTTTCAAGAACGAAGCCACACCCAGTGACCCCAAGTGACAGTGTGATCCAGATTGTGGCGCTTGCTCGAAGATTGCCATGCCCGAGCCTTTTGCTTTCATCTCTGTTCTGGATGAGGTCGCCGCTGCCATGGCGAGGATCGCATCCACGGGCGTCATTGATGAGAACTGGATGTGGGACATCACGTGCCGTGCCCGAAGAGAGCATGTAGCAGAACTTGATTTCATCTGCTCGAGTCAGAACGGGGAAGTTTGAGAGTGAAGGTTGTGCACTCCCTTTCAGCCTTTGGCGTCTGCTTTTATCGGCGTGCTGCGCTTATCCGGGCTTGCCCTTGAGGTGGTGTGCAGGTCGGAACTATGCCGCCGAGCCAGCGCGAGGTCCCTCTGGGAAGGCCTGGCATGAGAAATGTGGCGCTGCGGTGCTGTCACTGGCAGTGGGCTGTGCGAGCCAGGTCTTGCCAGTGCTCGGCTCTTCTATCCTAGTGTGACAGGGCGACTAAACATCTGACGAAAAAAGAGAGCACTCGTCTTTTTCTGAGATTCTGTCTGCGAAGCAAGATTGTGTCTGCGAAGCAGTTCTCAAGCAGTTCTTGCGAAAGTCCTTCTGCCACCTTCAGCTGAGCGGGCTCGCACATATGTAGTCAAATGAGCTTAAACGCAGCAAGACACCCAGTGCCGTGGCCAGCCCGTGGCTGAGCAAGCCGCTTGTACAACATTGCCTCTTGCTCGGGTTCGTGTTGCACTGCAGCGCGAGCCGGACCTGTGTCTGTGTCTTGTTTTTTTCGCACTTCCCCTTCGGTCCTCGCATGCTCTCTCATCAAGGTGGGACTGGCACGAGCACAGCGGGCTTAGGGTGTGGACAGGCCGGCGTGACACAGAGTCCCAACGAATTGTCTACTCCTGTTCTGGTACGGGCAGGCCCCTGGCACGCGCGGTGGGAGCGCCATGCTGCCACCTCAGCTTGAGGAGCGTTCGCGGGACATCAGAAACAAGGCCACAGCACTGCACGTTTTCGATTGGGCTGAGGTCAGGGCCTATGGGAGGCTCCGCGGGGGCAACCCGTGTCATTGGCAAAGGCCAGGCATGTCCAAGGATCTGGATTTGTGTGCTGGTGGAAGCCCCGTTTTGTGGTTGTTCTGGTAGTGCCTTATGGAGGAACAGTGAGAGGAAGTTGTGGCCCTTCAGGTGTCAGAGGTTGGTAAAAAATGTAAAAAGGCACGTCTCGGTTTACTGCCTCCGAATGGTTACAAGCTCAAGGAAGACAGTGTGCCCCCGGTCACAAAGGCAAAGGCAAAAACATTGCGGGCGCCTGGGGGTGCACATTTCGCCCGAAGACCGAAGACACATTTTGAAGACACATGGGGTTGAGGACCCCGGCCCTCCAGAGCAGACAGCGAAGACACGTGGGCGTCAGCAGACACATGTCAGGCGCAGACAGCGAAGACACGTGGGCGTCTGAAGACACATTCCCGGCGAAGACACGTGGCGTCGGGAATCCCGTCTGAAGACACGTGGGCGTCAGAAGACACTTTACCAGAATACGTAAAGCCAAGGCTAAGACCACTCAAACAGGTGGGGACAGCGCCTCCTATGCAGTGAAGACAAACAGCGTCGCGAAGATACTTCCCGCAGCCAGGTCCGGGGAAGATCCCCAGCGTCGCGAAGACACGTGGGCTAGCGAAGGCACCTTCCGCAGACAGCTCCCGCGAAGACACGTGGCGTCGCGAAGACACATGGGCAAGTGAAGACACTTCCCGAAGACAGGTCCAGCGAAGACACGTGGCGTCGCGAAGACACTTCCTGCAGACAGCTCCCCGTCCCCCCGCCCACGCGGACCCAAGCTCGTCAACCCTGCACTTCCTATTATAAATAGGCCTCAGCTTTAATATTCCATATTCTTTACAAGTGCGCTAGGATGTGTTACAGTACTGTATGCATGCAGAACGTGGCGTGGCAACGTGGCGTTATACTGGCTCTACGTGGCGTCGCTGGGCCACCTGGCGTCACCGGACGTGGCGTCAAAACGTGGCGTCATTGCCTCATGTGGCGTCACGGAGACACGTGGTGTCGCAGAACCTGGCGTCAGAACGTAGCGTCACAGACTCACGTGGCGTCACTGATGAGCCACCTGGCGGCGCCGGATCGGGTGTCAGAACGTGGCGTCGCTGGCTCACGTGTCATTATATATACCCTCCAGGGTCAGATTCCGACGACAAAAAAAACGCTGGCCGTGGGTGAGTCTTCTCCGTACGTGGCGTCAGTACGTGGCGTCAGAAGCTTACGTGGCGTCAGGACCCCACGTGTCGTCAAGCCAGGTGGCGTCAAAACGTGGCGTCAGGCGTCACGCACAGACGTGGCGTCACTGGACGTGGCGTCAGTACGTGGCGTCAGGGGGTCAGGGCCCGGACAGAACGTGTCGTCAAAACGTGTCTTCAGGCGTCGGGCGAAATGTGCACCCCCGTGGGCGCCCGCCCTGTAATAACGATTCGGATATGGAGCACACGGAGTGTAAGCTGCGAAGCTCACGCACATTCCTGCACTCCTAAATCGCAGTTTCAAAATGAGGGAACGTCAGAAGGAATAATGCCCATCAGTCCATGGCAGCCAAGCCCAGACTTCGAGCGTACATGCAAAAGATGCAGGAATGGAAAGAAGTTTGAAGGAAGGCTCTAAAGGCATGATGACGCATGACGCAGATTGCTCAGTTGGTCGAAGGTCAGCGGCGGCTGATGACCAAAGGCATCAAAATGGGTAGCTGGGTTGCTGTGTCGTCGGTGCCTTAACGTCCCAAGAGGTTCGCGTTCAGCCATTCAGCACTGCAAGCTCCCAATGCTCGAAACCTGAAGGTATCGTGTTCCCATTAAGCAAGAGATAGACGAGAATGACACGGGCCACTACGAAGGAAGAATTATAGACAAACGAATCGGCGGCCAGGACAGCAGCTGCGGGGCTTCCAAAAAATCGGCACAGCTTAGGGCTCAGAGTCTTAGAGGTAACATTGCTGAAGGACCGGGAGTCCTTCATAGAGCTCAAGGACGTTTTGAAGGTGGACATCGATGGAAACATCATCGGCAAAGAGAAGAACAAGCGACTCATCGATGCTTTCATTGAAGATTGCAAGGCGCTGTTGCCACTCCCTTAACTATTTTTCTCTGTCTCCAATAGAACCTGGTGCCTGAACTTGACAGGTAATCGACAAGCGAGACGAGTCATGGGACAGCATCAAGCTGCAGAGTGAGGTAGTCGCTTGACATGGCTGGTCATGTGCTGGTGCAGCTCGATTATAAAGTTGTGCTGTTCCTCTCTCGTGCTGCGGTATGGCAGTTGACATGAGGAAGCTGCCAAGCTGCAACCCCCGGTGATCAATCAGGCCGTTCTGCTGAAGTGGACGGGGGGGGGGGGGGGGGCGTTGCGTCTGCATCAGCTGGTGCATGTGGTGCATGTAGGCATGTAGGTGAAGACGTAACCAGGTGGCAGGTCGCAAGGGCTGTAGAAGGCATGGCCAGCCCTGAGGCCAGCAATGAAGATGATGGCGAAGCAATGCCCATGATGGGCATGATGCCTGGAATGATGATGATGCAGAACATGATGCAAGGTGGGGCCGAGAGCAGACATGACCACTGTGCTGGTTTCGAAGTCAATGTGCCTGCTTGCCCATTCTCCTAGGCATGATGGCGGCCAGCATGATGCAGAATGCAATGATGGGAGGCGGAATGGGCTGTGGTGGCTGTATGGGCAAGGCTGGATGCGGCCCTGGATCCTGTTCGGGCAATTCATGCCCCAGTAGCGCCTCGCCTGCTTGTCCGGGTGGTGCCTGCCCGAGCGCGTGCCCGAGCGGCGCCTGTCCCGGCACTGCCTGTCCCGGCGCTGGCGGAGCTGGCCCCGGCCCGGGCGCTGGTCCCGCCTGTCCCAGCGCGTGCCCCAGCGCGTGCCCCGGCGCGTGTCCCGGCGCATGCCCCGGCGCATGCCCCGGCGCGTGTCCCGGAGCGTGTGTCGGCGCGTGTCCCGGCGCGTGTCCCACTGCGTGCCCCAGCGCGTGCACCGGCGCATGTCCCGGAGCGTGTGCGGGTGCATGTGCGTGCGCATGTCCTGGAGCGTGTGCCTGCCCGACTTCGTGCCCCGGCTGCCCTGGCTGCCCGGGCTGCCCTGGCTGTTCTGGCTGCCCTGGCTGCCCTGGATGCGCTGGCTGCCCTGGCTGCCCTGGCTGTGGTTGTGGGTGTGGCTGCCCAGGTTGCGGTTGTGGAGGGTGTGGTTGTGGCTGTTGCGGCTGCGGCTGTGGCTGCAACCCTGCCGGCTGTTGTTGTGGGGGGTGCCCGGGGTGTGGTTGTTGCGGCTGCTGCCCTGGTTGCTGTGGTGGTTGTGGCACGATGGCAGGTGCAATGTGTGGAGGGCAAGGCATGGGCTGCGGCAACATGGCGCCTGGCAGCATGGGCAGCATGAGTCCTACCATGGGCCCAAATGCTGTGCCTGGCGGTGGGGGCGGCAGAAGCAGAAGTCGCAGTCCAAAGCCGAAGTCGTAGCGTCGTAGCGTTAACAGAGAGGAGTTCCGGAGCTATCCCCCCAAACTGCCAAATGGTAGTTTCATCTATGGATGTGGAATGCCCCAAAAGACTCAGAGCGCGCGTAATCAAACGGCCGCTGCTGGACCATGCTGGCGCTGTGTAATGTCTGTTGCCAGGCAACCGCATGCATTTGATCAGGTATTCTTCCTTTTATGCATCTGGCTCGAGGTTTCACTGGTGGTAGCCAGCAAGATTCAACAGCTCACGTCAACGGCACAGTGAAAATCAGTGAAATCAGGTGCATTGTGAACATTGGAGTTATTAGACGGGCCCACCAAGAGCTTTCGAGCTGCTGCTCAGTGAACCCTTTATTTAGTTTACACTGCCGTGCCGCCGTTTGCCGCGAAGGAGGAGCATGTGAGATGCCATCGCTTCTCCACAGTTGTGGCGTTCTTGCTTAGAGCACCAGCTCTCAGGAGCCTTTGAAGATGGGCTGCCTAGAGCTCAGCTGCTCTCATGACCTGGTAACATGGTGACATGGCAATGCCTTGGAATCAAGGTTGCGATAGTAAGCCTGACATCAACAGTCCGACCGCTCGGCCCACAGAGGGCAGCATGCACAGTCTCGTGCCCGGCGAACGTCGCCGCACGAGTTCGTTCTTCAGCATCTAGCTGCAGGCATCCGCAGCTATTTCAAACCGGAGTTTGGACGCGGAGGATGGCAAAGCACCACAAAGATTCTGGGATTTTGTCAAGTACCACATGTGCTTGCAGGACCACCATTCCGACGCAGCCTGGGGCTTGACATCTCCTACACGAGTCGCCTTTTCTCCATGACAGCTCGGACTTCGCTGGTGCCAATGGGTTCTCCTGAGACAGGGCCACGCGAATGTCAAGCGATCGTGTTTGCCAGGGATGAAGGGAGCTAAAGCAGCTGAAGCAGCTAAAGCAGCTAGGGCAGGGGAGCTCCTGTAGGGACATTTCGACTCAGACATCAGTCCAGTTCATTCTCTCGCCCCTGCTTAACTCCAAGGCCTGGTGCGGACGCAAGAAGCGCAGCAAGTCTCAAGGACCGACGTCGCTTGGATGTCAGACGGCATTCCGTGCTGTTAAGCGTCGGTGGAAGTATCCGATGCACATCGCAGGCTCCTCCTTCGCGGCTCAAGGGCAGTCACCTGGCATGCAGCATGATCAGATGCCGGAGCTTGTTGCAGATTTCAAGCAAGAATGTCACGCGCTTACAGGTCCTTGCTTGCTTTGCTATGCCCCGAGGCAGCAAGCCAACCAGGGATCAGGCCTTCCTTCGCAAGCACTCTTGGGACTCTTGGGCCTTGAGTCTTGACGTCTTTGCCATGGCTCAGGCTCTCTCTCGGAAGGAACGACGTGTCATCTGCACATGCCAGCAGCGTGCCCACTTTGAGCCGTACAGGTTGCCTAACAGCCTTTTGTTGTTTGCATTTCTAGTTCTAGGTAGCACAATGTTGGATGCTGAGGGGTTGGGAAGGGCTTAATCTCCATGCAGCTGCAAGGGTATGTGTTGATTCTGTCGACGCATGTGGATCAACTTGCTTAAATGCTTATTCAACACGGCAGGGAATGGGGCTGTCACTCAACCCTGTTTGGGAGCTTGGCGCAAAGGAAATTAGTGGCACCAGATCAAGAAGGCGAAAGCAAATGAAAGGAGCAACGACAGAGGGAAGGGCATCATTCACTTGATTGCTTGTCTTCAATGTGCACCACGTGGGCTCTGAACTCCCATACTTTGTCTCAAGAGCCGTGACTAACAGGCTGAAGCTTCGGTTAAGACCAAATGAGCCAAGATGAGGGATTCTCCTTGCCCCCGCGATCTGCGAGACAGCCCTTCTGTGTTCATCAAAAGTACTTTCTTTTCAAATGTTGGCCTCGCCAAGCACCCATCTTGTTGACGAGGGCCTCAAGTGTGACGAGCCGGCAGACAAACCTTGTGATGAGGCCACTCAGATCCGCCGAGAGATCATGAAGCTTCAATACCGCGAGGTCAGGCACTATCAGTCAGCGCCATCTGCTGGAACCCCTCCCCAATGCGAAGGTTACTCCAGAAGATTATGAGTTGTGTTGGCCTTAGCATGTGGCGTCAGCCATCGCTGCCCTATCTGGTGAGCACTCACGGCGCCCACTTGGCACAGGCTTTGTCTCCTAGACGAAAGCCTTCCGAAAAAGAACACTCTTCCCGAAGCACTGGTGCAGGCCTCTTAGCTGCGGTGTGGGCCACGTGCTGTTTTTCAACCCAAAGTGCCCTTGCAGGGTCTGCCGTTGGTGCCTGCGGCGAGCTGCAGCTCCAAATGCTGTCAGGCACTGCCTCGGAAGCCATAGCCTTGCGCATCTTTTAGTGGTTTGCGTGTCAGGTCTGCTTGCTCGAACTTGGAGATTGTAAGGCGCGGAATGTTGGGGCAGTCATGAGCACCAATTTTCTGGGTGAATCTGTTGGCCAAGGTGCCACAATTGCCTTGTGGCCACGCGTTCCACTTTGAATGTGCCGCCAAGACAGCATCGCAGAAGAACGCTTCAACCAGGGTGCGGATGTACAGGTGGATGGGCAGATATAGGCAGTCGTTCCCAAGGCCTGCAAGTGGTTCACAAGCTGCTCAGCCCGCTGTCCTGTTTGCCAGGCTCCCCCACTTTGTTTGCGCTTTTTCAGCGCAAATGTTGTAAACTTAAGTAAGCTGCTTGGAAAAGGTGTCAATTCTTGACCCACCTGCGGCTCCGCCTTCAACCGTGTCCTGTGACCCCCCGGCCAGGGTCCAAGCAATCTCGGTGTCAAAGTGTGTGCAGCGCGGGCAAGTGTGGCAAAAGTGTGGGACTACTGCGGAAGGCCAGCTCAGAGACCAGGAGCCCAGACAGTCGGTCTTGGCTGAGACGGGGTGAAGAATCAGAATCCGAAGCCGTGTGAGCCAAAAGCTTTCCCCACGACTTTAACTTTCCCTTGGGGTGATGATCAAGCTCAACTCATTTGTCCAATGAGCTTGTGCCGCCCACCTTTGGCTGCTGCTTGATGCATGACCGAATTTGTCTGTATATAGGCGGTTGCGAGAACCTCAGGACTGAGTCTTCAAGGTTTTCAGTTTGTTTCTTTGCTGTGTTTCGCTCGGTTTCACGGAATTTGCACTCAGTCCATGTGCGCAATGCGAAGTGCCTGTTCCCCGGTCTATGAAAGCAGAACTTTCGCGTGGCTAGCGGAAGCAGCACCACAAAGGCACTTTGCATGACCTTAGCCGATACTGTTGGCTGCTTGCTGCTTGACTGCCTCCGGTGGTCACTTAAAGAGTTTTGTGCACGCCAACATTTTTCAATCAAACGCTTGCAATGAGAGGTCCCTCCAGAGATAGAAACATGACTGAAACATGTGAAGCATCTTTTGAAACATTTTGCAATTTTTTGCAACCTTTCCTTGGGACTGACGCAAGCACTGGAGTCACTGGAGCTTGGTGAGTGGCGCGCAGCTACAGCTCGCATGCCGACTCTCGGCCTTGGCAGCACTTGTGCCGCAAGGCCGCTGATTATCTGATTATCGTGTTCGAAGCGAATTTCGAAGCATTCCCCCTGTATGACCTGTATGAGTTGCCCAGGACCATCTCAGGAACCCTCATATCGGAGTATGACATGCTGTGTAGTATCGTGTACATGCTGGAGACTCGTGTCTAAACTGGCGATCTTCCGTCAGACTGTAGCTTGCTGACGCTATCCCAAACCAGTTGTAGAGTTGTCGTCGTCCTTCAATTTGAAGCCGCTTGCCGAAAAGCAGCATCCGATCGAAGTTGACTGCGCAGCTTGACTTTCGAAGAGCAGAAGCTTGTTGCCTTGCAAGTTGCCAGTACATGTGGCAGCATGTATGCACTCGGCGCAGCTTTTGTGGCTTCGTAGCGTCATGTGGGTTTGGCGGTCGCTGGGATGTGACCAAGCTGCCGAGCTACCGCAGTCCACGATTGCGGCACTAGGCAGGAAGACCACGACTCCCTATCAAGTGATTGCAAGGGAGTAGAGTTGCCCTAGAAAGATGCAGTCATTTCCACCCCCCAAAAGCGATAGCAAGGGGCCGCATGGGGTGGCCACAGGTAAGGGCTTCCCCCACAAAAATGATTGCAAAGGGGTCGAAGGCATGGTCAGGTCGATAATAGAATCAATAGAAGGGTTCCTTGGAGCCTTAGAGGCGACCAGCTTGACAGGCCGGCGGTGCTGCAAGGATGTGCAGGGACACACGCCGCTTCTTGGGTCCCGGCCGCCTAGCAGTGCTTCCAGCGGCTGGCTGGACGATGCGCCAAACAGCGCCGGCACGGCAGAGTGCGTCAAAGACTCCAAAGGAGAGTCGTACTGGCTCAATGCTGGCCGCGACACGGTGACATCGGTGGCCGCGTGGCGCTTGGAGCCGCTGAACTCTTTGCGGCTCTGCGTGCCTGCAGCTGTGGAAGTTAGCCCACCGGGACCTGTTGCAGTGCTAGAAATGAATGAGAAGTCTGTGAAGGCAGAGAAGGGTCTTGCATTCAAGAATGTTAGGGAAGCTGTTCGGAGGCTGTCTTCGCGTGGCGGAGGCACATTTTGCTTCCGTGTTCCGACTGCCTTTGTGCGATTGCGGGAGGAGGCAACCCGTGAGGTCTTGACAATGCCAGACCAACCTCTCTGGCCACACTGCGTTACTGGCGTGCTCGTGGGTGCGATGCTTCGGGTTGTTGTTTCCGTGGAGGGCTCCTCGTCGCTTCCCTCCTTACCATCCATCAACCCAGAAGAGTCTCGAGAAGTGATCATAGAGTGTGAATCCTGCCGCCTCTCGATCGTGCAGAAGGGTGGCCCACCATTGGACCCAGCCAAAATCCACGGCTGCAACGAGGAGGGCATCGCCCGCGTGTTTGACCTGTGGATGAAGAGAACACGGAGTAAGCCAAATACGTGGCGACTCCTCAGCATTGCCCCAGAGCCAGGTGCAGTAGAGGACCGGCTGGTCGCCAGTTTGGCTTTCAATCCGCCGCCGGGTGTTCTGTCGACCCATGGCAGACAGATGGGGGACTTGGTCCTTGCTGCTGTGGCAGACGTCGAATTCAGCATCGAGCCCTTTGAGCTGAGTTATGGAGAATCACATCTGGAGTCCTTGCGTCAAATGGTGGCCGAGGAGATTGCAAATTTGCTGGGAATTTCCCCTGAGCAAGTGATTTGCGGTGCCTTTCTGCTCAAGAGTGTCGTCCCCAAAAGGCGGCATGTGCGGCGAAACTCCATGATGCTTCAGATTGCTCTGCTGCACTCAGGGCTGATCGACGTGGTAAGAGGACCACAGATGCCCACTCGTAAGCCCCAACCAGCCCTGCCCACCCCGGTTAGTCCCAAAAGCGCCAAAAGGTCGGAGAGGTCGGGCCTCTCCCGAAGCCCGACAGGCGCCTTTGAATCCCAGAGCCTGGCTGAGACAGTGTTCTCGGACGAGCCCCTTTCGCCCCCAAACTCCCAGAACCCCAAGAAGAGTGTCGCGCTGACACGCGCGTTGACGACGTTGAAGGACACGGAAGAGGCGTTTGCCAAGACTGTGCGTGGCATGAGCATGTCAGCCTCCGCTCCATCACTGAAATCCAAGAGCAATGCGCAGAGCAATACGCAGAGCAACATGCAGAGCCTCTACAACACCCTGAACTTCCAGGGTCGCGAGATGCCCCCTGACCAGCTTCTGAAGATGCTGGTCAACATCTTGGGCGATCCTCGACATCCCATCCGCAAGCACCCCGAAATCTTTCCCATGCACCTCAGCCTATTCTGACAATGTTTCTAGATGGTTCCAACTAGCCGCCCCCAACCTCGAACTAAGTTGATTAAGCAAGCTATAGCAAGCTCGTGGTGGAAATGAAGCAAATGAAGCCTTCATCCTACTGGATCCATGTCCAGGTTCTCGAAGATCACCAAGAAGGCTGTGCTCACAAAGGCCCCGTTGGTTGCCAGCCAGGATATCATTGATGCATCGCACATGGCCTCTTCCATCCGCGAGCTGATGCAGCCGAGGAAGGCACTTCCCAGCGCACACAGCAAGCCAAATGGTTTTCCTGAGGTTTACCCGGTTCCCATGGCAGTTCGTGTGTGTGTGTGTGTGTGTGTGTGTGTGTGTGTGTGTGTGTGTGTGTGTGTGTGTGTGTGTGTGTGTGTGTGTGTGTGTGTGTGTGTGTGTGGTTGTGTGTGTGTGTGTGTGTGTGTGTGTGTGTGTGTGTGTGTGTGTGTGTGTGTGTGTGTGTGTGTGTGTGTGTGTGTGTGTGTGTGTGTGTGTGTGTGTGATGCTTCCTAGCTGCTTGAGGTCAAGCCTTTACCATCAGATCTGGACGACACTTCCATGGAACAGCTGTCCACGATGCGCACAGAGATCTTGAAACTATATGCCCAACCAGGTGGCAGCATTGCAGTGCAGAAGTCGCAACTTGTGAATCTTACACCCAAAGAAATTTTGGATCTGGCGGATTCGTCCTTTGGCCAACTACACTCTCTGGTGGCCTGCCTAGAGGTGCCTGGGTTCAGTCCAATTTCAGGAATGTGTGGAGAATTTGTGTGGTTAAGGATGCAAAAAAATTAGGTTAGTTCTGTTTTGTCGTGCTGTGTCGCGCGACTTCCAGCATGTGGCACGCTGCCACGACAAAATTGAGTGCAAAGGCAACAATCGAGAAGACGGAAACTGATGTGGAATTCTGCCAGCGGCTTCGGCTTCATCACGCTGTGGAGAGGACAGTGGTGATCATGCGTCACTTCAGCTCGAATCGAGAGGCAGGGGACACTTTGACTCAGCATCGTTGCTATTGCGCCCTGCCTGCAGGTGGTGTTTCGGGGCTTCCAGATCCTGGGCCATCTAACTAAGCATGACCTCCTGTCAGTGGATGCCATCCTCGACAAGTCTGTTGCACCTGACATTTTGCTGTGCCCTGGCAGCTTGGAAGATTGCGCGCGGTCTCTGAAGCCGTTTGGGCGCTGAAGCTGCAGCGAAGCTGCCATGGCCATACCCATGATTTCTGAGGTCCTCGGACAACTTCCCCAGTGACCAGGAAATGCAACTTATCGTCTGCCAGGCCTTGGCCACCGAACCTGCACGCACGGACACTTTATTGCATGCCGTTTTATGCAAAGACAGAGCGAGTCTTCAAAGTGTTGTTTTAGCTCCTCATTTTGCTTAGCTCGGTGCTGATCTTGTGCATGCATCTGTGTTTCTTTTTTAAAGCTCTCGTTTTGGGGCTCTCTGTCGAGGTGCTTCGGCGGGTGTACCTCCGGGCCCGCGAGATGACCATGGCCGGCTCTCGCGTGGTGACATTGGGCAAACAGCTGGAGGAGGCGACGAGGAAGAGCAGAAAAGAACAGAAAAGAACAGAAAGCACGGACCAAATCAATGAACCCCCTCCCTGACTCTCCCCCATCGCAGGTGTGGACGTTTCACGGTCTCGCAAGGATTCTGACTTCGATGAAGCTATTTCCGCAAGATGCAGAGATTCAGCTTGAATGCTGCGTCCTGCTTGCCTCCATTGGGGAGTTGCTGCACAACAACGGCTATGCCACGGAAGTGTTCAAGATTCTGGAACTAGCCATGCGCAAACATGAACACAGGGCTTCTTGTTCGGCAAAAGTTTTTGCCAGGGTTTTCAATGAAATGCACGGCCAGTCCCTAGTCCGACTGGAGTCCTTCGAAACGTTCTGCAGGCTGACCTCGTGTCCCAGGGGATTTTGATCATCGCGCGGCTCGGGGCATCCTTCCTCGCCGTTGAGAACCGTGGGGTCCGGACGATTGTGAATGCTATGGCACGTCATCGTTCCGACAAAGAGCTTCAGAAGACAGCGGTGCGTGCCCTCTTCGCTTTGTCCAAGGATGAGCTGGCCCTGAAAGCATCGCGATCTGGAGGAGGCCCGGGTCCTGTTGTCACACCGCAAAAGCTCGCGTTGCACTCGTTGCACTCGTTGCACTCGTTGCACTCGTTGCACTCGTTGCACTCGTTGCACTGGCGAGTTCTCTCGCCGCAGGTGTGGGCGCCATTTTTGCAGCCATGGCAGCTCACCCAGACGCTACGCAGGTGCTCCAGGAAGGAACACGTGCTCTCGAGAAGCATTGCCCGCGTGCAGTGGCCAGCATTGCTCGGCTGTGCGGCGACCTCATCGCTGTCCTCCCGCCTGTGGTTTGGTCTTCTGGCCCTGACTTGGGAGGAATGCTGCATGCGCGGCCCTTAGCTGGGCGAGGTGCAGGTAGAGGTGTAGTTGGTAGAGGTCCGTATGACACTGTGGTCGTTGCAGCATGTTGCAGCAAGGTCCACCTGGATGTCGAAGAGTTGAAGTCCAACGGATGGGCACCGCGAGGTGCAACGAAAAGAATCGATGAACTGACATGAGCTCTGAACTCTGTAAACCCGAATCCATGGAACAAATTAATGCGGGGTCGAAGGTAAGAAGAAGAAGAAGAAGGGGGGGAAGGGGAAGAAGAAGAAGAAGAAGAAGAAGAAGAAGAAGAAGAAGAAGAAGAAGAAGAAGAAGAAGAAGAAGAAGAAGAAGAAGAAGAAGAAGAAGAAGCACCGGGAACTGAACAAAGACTTGTACTTTCTACATGTATCGACATTTTAAAAAACATCTTGGACGTTAGGTTCTCGTTTAGTCACTCAGCGGGGGGGGGGGGGGGGGGGCGGTCGATTTCTCGCTTAAGAAGGGTGTTGCACACGGCTGGAGGGCCGCGTGAGGGGGCGAATTGGGGGTTCGGGGGTGACCAGGGTGATTGACTAAATTCAGTCCACTGCATCCTGGAGCCAGCCTTTGTTTTCAGAAGCGTGCTCATGCTTCTGCATACTGACTGCACATGTTGCGATGCCCTCGTAAGGCGCAAGAGGTATTTTTAAAGGAAGGTTTTTGGTTGTCTTCTTTGAACCGTCTTTAAGACGTGAAGTCTGGAGGCATCGAGAACTTCGTCGCAGAGTTCTCTCCTCCTGCGGAGCGCTCCAACGACGAGGAGGACTTGCTGCACCTGACTGCAGGCTTTCGCCGGAAGAAGGGCCTACGGGATGACATTGATGCGGCGGATTCGCAGTGGATGTCCTTGGGCAGCGTGCGGGTGATGATGACGCGGACCTCTACGCACAATATCCTGCAGAAGGATATCAATGCTTTGTCTCACCGCGGATGCGATGTGGATGTCCTGCGGCAATCTGGCCCCAAGCGAGAACATGTGCAAGGTATCTGCGAAGTCCTTGCCGAGGGTGTCGGGCCCAAGAAGTTCACTGCTCAGGACGGGGAGCTGCTTGTGTTGATATTGGGCCACTTTGCATGGTTCTCCCATGCGCACGCCAGCGAGATCATCGAGTTTGGGGGCCACCAGGCTATCATGGACTGGCTGCGAACTGACCGGTTCAAAGGCCAAAGAGATCCGAGAGACGATGCTTTGGCCTTCCCAATGCAGCGTGCTTGCCTCTCAACGCTAAGCTGCTTGTGTCGGCACGGCATTGACACGGCCGGCCACCTCCTAGACCTGGAGGCAGTCGAGGCCTGCGTGCAGTTCACCACACACCTCGAGGACGGGCTGCGCTGCGCTGCGCTGCGCTTGCTGGCCCGGCTTCTTCCCTATGCCGTGAAGCGGTACACGGGGAAAGACTCCAAGGACTCGATGCCCATGGAGGACATATGGCCTGCCGTCCTTTGCGAGCTCCGCAGCAGTGAGGAGGTCCTACGCACTGCTGCAGCCACATGTGCTGTCGAGGCGGTCACTTGCGGGGCGCTGCCGACGGATCCCGCAATGACCGATGTCTTAGCACAGTCTCTGCTGCATGCACTGGATGCCGCTACGTTGGCTGATTCTCCGGCTGCAGCCCTGCCTGTGTTGATTGCCGTCTCCCGCATGGTATCGGACACGGAGGACGACTACGCATCCTCTGCCATCAAGAGCTGTGACACACTTATCCCGCTCTTGACAGACTGGCTCCCGAAAGCGACCAGAGCACGTGCAGTCTCCACTGCCAAAGCTGCCGGCCTTGCTGCAGCCAGCACATTGCGAACCTTAAGCTCCTTGGCAATTGGCAAGATGAACAGATTAACAGAAGTGAACCAGCATTGGGAACGCACACCATGCACTTTGAATGTCGTCAGTTGTTCAAGTCCAGGTGATGGTGGCACTGCGTTTGGAGGCGCCCGTGCCTGCTCCGTAGGTAGGACATGACACACTTGCTCGATCGACAGTCTCGATGTTCAAGGATGTTGGCAGGTGTCGTTGACATGAGTTCCAGACAGTTGGGTCACACCATGTCACATCGTGTGAGGTGCAGAACTAGCGGCGATCTTACGTTATGGCACGAGCGTGTCCGCAGAGCTTCCGCCAGAAGCTTAGCTGTGGCTATGGCTGGGTCTCCTGAGGGAGCCAGATGCTCATTGGCTTCGTTTAGTTCCCGTGGATTCTTTGCAGAGTCGCTCGGGGCTGAGGTTGCAGGAGGCGTGCAAGGCGGCCATCGAGCTGGCAGTTTCACGGGAGCCGGATGCCAGCCTCCTGGTGCAGATGCTCACCGGGAGATTGCGGTTGGGCAGCAGCGGTGAGGAGAAGATTGCCGACCTCACGATTCTGATCCGCATTGCGCAGCGGGCGGTGGTGCTAATCAAGCAGGACCCCAACCAAGCGACTGAGTCACTCCTCATGGCCTTGGAAGACTCTAAAGAGCTCATCCAGTCAATACCTCCTGACCTGCCTGGTGACGCAGACATGGATGGCATCCTAAGGGAGCTGACGGACCTCACAAGCAAGAGCATTGGATTGGCAGGTGCAAGCGAGGAGGAGGGGAAGGAGGAGGATGGCGCATGACTTCGAATATGTTTCAGAAAGGAGCGCGTCCTTTCTCACGGCCAGGTCCCGGAACTATACAGAAGGGCCGTGCTGTCTCACTTCTGTCTCACTTCTGTTTCACTTGAGAATTTGACAGTAAGATACAATAAGGTTCTCGGACGATCCGGCCCGAACAGGTTACAAGGCAGAAGTCTCGCATTCCTGTGCGGATGCCTTGCAAGGTCTGATGTCCTGGTTTCATCAAGAGCTAACAGTTGCCAACGGTTTCACCAGATTTTCGGGATTTTCTGTTTACATATGATGGCGGCTCCAGCCTGAGTCTCGCGTAGCGAGGGGCAGTGAGTTTGAGGCAGCCTGTCGGGAAAACCCAGTAGGGCGTAGGTTATCATTCAGAATGAGTTGGCGGAGAGCCTGCACAGAGTGCGAAACAAAGTCCTTTGTGTCCTGCACACATTCTTATCAGGATCCTGCTGCTCACTTGGACATCCAGTTTTCTTTCAGCTGCTTTGACCAAGAAGTGGGGGTTTTCTATAGCGTCTGATGCAAGGGAGCCAGTGTGACGCACCTTGGGACATCTTGGAGACATTGCGAGACGAATAGCAAAGCAGCGGTAGGTTCGGGAAATTTAGTGGCAGATTAGGTAGGTAGCATTGCATCCCTTTCGCCTTAGGATGTAGTCTGCCACTTGGAGCCTGATCTGTGATGTACCAGCCATGGTCACAACCAGGCATAGCGCAGCTCCTGCCGCAAAGCACGTTTTTTCAGTTTCGCTGTAGAAGGTCAGACTTTGCCTTGGACAACGGACCGAATCAGATTGGAAACTACTAAAATGGCTGAAGTTGTTGGAACTACCTTCGTTTAGCTTAGCTAACATTTGAAAAAGGTGCCTGTTGCGAGCTGCTTTCTGCACCAGCAGCGCAACTGAAACACTGCACTATGTGACAAACCTGCTGTAATCATCACTGCAAGGCCAGGTGCAGTAGGTTAGAAGGCACCCTTCTGCATGTCACGTGTAAATGGTGCCCTTTTTATTCTGCTCGCATGTGCGGTGGTGGTTTTCTCTCAATTTTCTTGCTCTCTTCCACATATGTTCTGAGCATGAGGTGTTATGTTTGCTACCAGTAGGTTGTGCACGCAGTTTGTCAAGGTACACGCCAGTTGGTGGCAATCCAGTCCATGTTGCTGCGGCTGGCTACCATGTTCGTCCGGGCCACCCAGGCTTTGCAGCAGCTTGTCCAATGTCGTCCGCTGTTCTCCGCTTCCCCATCGGGTGCATCGTCTAATCGCGGACAGGAGGCTATGCGCAGGCGCTGCCGCAACCGCTGATACCAGCTGCGCAGCCAGTCCATGCGGAGAGCCGGCCACACAGACCCAGCACGCAGTTGCGAGTGGCTCTGGCGGCATGATGGTTTTTCCTGTCCGTCCGTTTGTACAGTCAGCCAGCTGGCAGCATTCGTCACGCCTGTTTTATTGAATCACAGCATTCGAATGTAAGGAAATATCTCTCGAGTACTCCTACGCTGAACTGTCGGCTTCCACGACCCTAGTTTGCACTTAAGGCGAGTCGTAAGTGTTGGATGGGGCCCTTCGCCATAACAGGAGCAACTGGCACGACTCGCGCCGACTGGGTTCTGGCTCTTACGGCTCTGTCTACAAGGACGGGGCGGCAAGACATGGCAAGACCTTATAAGGTGTGTAAAACATGTGTGTTTTCCCTTGACTCGCATTTGCAAGTCGCTGCTTTGCAGGGTGAGCTCGAGGATGGCTCTGAGGTGGCGATCAAGGCCAAAGTTTCACTTAGAGTCATTCGAGCTGATCCCAGCTGAAGAGAGGTTGTAAGGTGGTAGACGGAGGGAGGGAAGCATGAGAGGGAGTTTAGTGAAAGGAGTTGACATACAAACTGTTCCGAAGTACGTTCGATATCAGGGTGCAGAGACAGAAGTCCACGCAAGCCTCGCCCACCCATGATGGAAGTAACTGTGAACCTTCGCCTGCACACGCTTGACAAGGTGTCTGCAGAACCTAAGGCGATTCTTTGTTTTCCATCTGCGTGGGAGAACTGACCGCCCGAAATTGTAGGGGTTCAGATTTTGTCACTCCTGCCCCGCACCCTCTCCCCGACGCTTGGGGGCCTGGGCTACGGTTTCCGGTGGAAAGCTACGAGGTTTTTGATGTTGGGCCGGCTACTAGGTCGGTTCGCGGTGAGTCTCGAGAGGGTTTGCTCTTCTTGTGGGTGGTCACGAAAGACTCCTTAGGCTCGTAAAGGTCGCAAGACAAGTCCAGCAAGGTCAACGAAAAGTGAAAACAGGCAACCGCGGCGAGGGGAACGGACCGGGCCGGCAATGACCTCTGTTAAGGGCACGTGCGCCGGCTGCAATGCGGCTGAAGGGCGGCCAGGCTAAGATCGGCGATCAAGGAGGTTGCGAAGGCCCAAGGCATAGATGTCGTTGTCGAAGCAAACGCATCGGCCCGGGACTTCCGGAATCCCGTAGTCCAGAATGCAGCTAGCTGGCTTGCTGTGCACCTTCTCAAGACCGAAGGAGAGGAGCTGAGCATGACCAGTCTGGTCCCGCTGGCACATCTGGCCTGCCGAACAGGACAGATGAAAGGACCGTCATGGGCCGGCAATGGCGAGTGCTTGGCAGGCTTCCGCGTGCGAAGGTCGTGATAGATAGCGTCCGGCACATGTTGGGCTCGTGGTCGTCGTCAACGAACGCAAGAAGGGCCGAGAGCCCCCCCCCCCCGCAACCCCAGATGGGCCTCAAAACGAGGCACAAGTTTTTAAGCCGAAGATCACAGCGGCAGAGATCTGTAAGCAGCCTTGAGAGCCTGCTGTGGGCCTATCTGGTCAGGAAAGAAACATCCCTCTGTGTCGGGCAGACTTGGCCTGTCGCTCTTCCCTGCAGATCCCTCTGCAAGTACTAGTAGCTCATGCGCGACCGGTTACGCACCCAAATTCTGCCTCGTGAAAGAGGGGATGGCGACATCCAGGAAGTGGGACAGAGTGTCTCCAGCCGTGGGGCTGGGTACATGCAAACATGTGCATATGCAGAATCGCTGGCAATGTTTTAATATTGCAAGCGCTTCCTAAATCCCCTTCCGTCTTTTCGTGAACTACGAAAAGACCGAGCTAGCATACATCGCCGTAACTATTTGCCCTAACCAGTTACAGTGGGAAAGCAAGGGGCTCAATGTGGCAACCTCTGACGCCCATAGCCAGGGGCCGAGGTGAATGCTTCTGCATGGGAAAAAAGACTTTTTGGGAGAGGTCTTTTTCGAAGAAGAAGAAATGAAGGAGAGTGAGCGGAATCAAAAGAATCAGCGAGCGAGAGCGAGTTTGCTTTTTCCAGGCCATTGACCTTGGTGCCTTGGGTGCTTCTGGCACTGCCCCAGAGATGGCAGGGTTTGAGGAAGAGGCTCCCTGCCAACGTTACTTGCTGCGTGCTTTGTGAAGATTTTTGAGCTGTTCCAGAGCTGTGGCGCTCTCGGGAATGGGTGGAGGGTAAAGAAGTGTTTGTTCAGATTGCATAGCAGGGGAAGGTCAGGATCAGCATTGCAGCATTGCCTTGCCTTTCGCCCCCGTAATCCCTTCAGGTGCAGATGCTGAGCAAGTTCCGGCATCCCAACCTGGCCTGACCCTTCAGCAGCGCATAGCGCATGAGAGAAGAAATTGCTGTGCAAGTTCGGCCTCAGGTCACACTCCTCGGTTGGGGCAAGCACGACAGCGGCTCTGACAGAAAACGCTATTTGGTGTACGAGCTCTTGTCCGGGGGAGATTGCTTTCAGCGCTTGCAGAAGAGCTGCTTGGCTAAGTCGCTGCGTGGGAATCATGCTTGTCTCGACCCCATGCAATGTGATTCTGGCCAGTCCCGGTGCCCAGGCAAGAAGCCAAGCGCAAACAGCCCCTTCTTGTGGCAAGGGTCTCAACCAATCGCTAGGTGTTGCTGTTCGTGAAGCTGCCATGAACATGAGTTTCTACTGTGTAAGGTTCGAGCGACTCAGTGTATACCTGGATGCAGCAGCAGGCTACCAGCTCACCCGCGCTTCTGTGTCTGTGACTGTCCTTGAGCCAGGTCTTTCCCATATGCTCAACTCCAAGCCCAAGGCTTTCCATCGAGACATCAAGTCGGCCAACATACTGCTTGTCAGTGTCTCAATTTGTCTTAGTCATCTGATTCATTGCCTTTAGTGGAACGCAGCCTGCAACGCTATGGCATGCGCGAAGGACAGGCATGGAACTGCCAAAATGGCAGACTTTGGCTTGAGCTGCACTTCAAGTCATGCCAATTCGAACTCACCTCAGTGGCTTCCAGGCGAAGCTTTGACGCTGTTTGATTTCCAGGGCCTGAGCCCGCAGGCTGCATGTCACTGTCCGGACGATCAGTGGGACACCAGGTGGGGCATTCGGAGAGTCTTTGCGAGCCTCCAATCGCGGAACCGCGGATGGCGGTGTGTGGCAGGCTACGCATGCCCCATCTACTCACGCACGGGCCGCGTCACAGAGGGCAGCGAGGCCTGGACAGAACTTCTGCTGCCATCAGTGGGATCTGAAGCTTCTGTGGAGGCCCTCTAGGGACTCTAGGGCCCTAGGGCCTCACTGTTCCGCTCTGGTATGATCTGGTCACTGGAAAGGTCCATTCCTTCGGGATGGTGATGCTGGAGCTATTGACCGGCCTGGCGCCTGCCACAGCGGATCCGACCAGGTCCTTCGGTGGTCCTTTCTGCAAAGCATGTTGGAAAGCCAGAGACAATGCCGTACAATGATGCAACAACGCTGTGCAGCTTCAAGATTCCATCAGAAGTGCAAAATGTGCAAGCTGGCGATAAATGTTGCTGCCTGAAGGAGCCCTCTAGAAAAGGCATGGTGCGTGCGGTGAGTGTCCTACGTTGTTCAGGCCTGGTGGCATCGCCTACCAAGTGGCTGATGCCGTTTCGTCGCTCAGCAGCACAGCAAGTCTGCAAATGGAGTTCCGCGAGTCTCTGAATGCCGACGCTCATCGGAATTACCTTTTTGGTTCTGCAGCAAAGGCAGCACAGCCCCGGCGCGCTCGAGCGCTGCCTGTGCAACCTGGACGTGAATGCGACTTGGTTCCGAAACTTGTGCCGAGATGGGACAGGGGCGAGCTGTTAGCTCCGGAGTCCGGAGGCTGGCTGGCCAAAAGAGTTGGCTAAAGAATTGGCCGAGCTGGCACTACGTGGAGTTCACTCGCAGGAGGAGGACGTTTGTGATGCTCAATGCTTCCCGCACCAGGGCTTTTAAGTCTACGTCTCTTTCATTTCCCACTGTCGAGCATGCATACTTCTTTGCAGCTTCTGAATGGCAGCAGCGGAAGGGCACCCACAGCCTCGTGTAAACAGTGTAAACCCCTATACTGCTTTCTGCAGCGGGCAAGACCTGCAGATCTAAGGGGGTTTGAGGTACTTTGACCCTTATGGGCCCGCAAGACCCTAAACTCTAAACCTAGCATGGGCTCGTGTGAATTCTGCTGTTCCGTGACAGCGCTGTTTCACCTCTTGGTCCTCGTTGAAGGAGCGGCCCCGCTTTGTGGAGCTGGTCCGCACCCTGCGCAGGCCAGGACCACGTTCGTCCCTGCACCAGGTTTTGAAGGGGATAGAATCCGTGAAGATGCCCTAACATTTCCCGTGTCTACACATGTCTAAACGGCCTACGTGCAGGCTGCTGGAGCGCTTCCCGAAGCGGCTTGGTTTTGATTTGTTTGCATGGAGACACGTGGCTTCTGCTGATTCCGGGTCCGTGCAAACAATTAAGAACACTCCGATGCTTTTGCATTGGCTCGTCATGGCGCTCATCTTTCATTTCTGCGCAGGCCTGCGATTGGGGCGCTGCCGCAACCAGCCACAGTGATAGCACCGGCACTTGCCTCTCCGGCGCCAGCCTCACCGGCGCCAGAAAGTGAGGCGAAGAAGGCCCAAGCAGTGATCGTGCACAGCTCACAAGCTGCTTTTGGCTTGGAGTTCGTCGCAGCTCTTGGTGTGGATTTGAACACGCTGCCGGCGGAGCTCCGCCGGCTATGCCTTTCTTTAGGAACCACGCCGGAAGACGGCTTGCTGGCGGTGCCTGTTGGTCGCTCACACCAGCAGAGGGCCTTTGAGGCTTGGGTGCCAGACCAGAGGCAAAACTGTATTTCGCGAACTGCATTTGAGATTTTGTGCGGTCCGAAGGGTGAAAGGGCATCGTTGATGGTTCGTGGATCGGGTTTGATCTCGGTGGATGGTAAAGCTGCCCCTCGGGAGACGGGCATTCCACTGTCGTCTGGGGCCGAGATCGCCTTCCATCACGGCGCAGATATGAATGCTGTTCTGCTCCGGCTTCGATTTATACCGGGCGCCGAGATGCTGTCGGAGAAGCCTGAGCCAGAGAAGCCAGACAAGCCAGACAAGTTGGAGAAGCCAGAGAAGCCAGAGAAGCCAGAGAAGCCAGAGAAGCCAGAGAAGCCAGAGAAGCCTGGCGAGAAGGCAAAGGTAGAGCCCAGTTCGCCTCGCCTTGCTCTCGGCCTAGGTCGGGAGGAGCCGAGCTCGCCTTGCCCCCGCCGGGCTGTGCGAGAGCTCGACTTGGAGGTGAGCCCTTCGCGGGGAAGGGAACGCTTTGGAGCCAGCGGCACCAGTGGTGGCGGTGGCAGCGGTGGCGGTGGCACGGGCACCTGGATCCTGGCCTGCATCCACGTCGAGGGCCTTTCAGCAGGGCAGCTGGCTGACCTGCCCAGTGCGGTGAGGGACATCCAGGTGCCAGGCCACATGCTTCCGCTGATGTTGGGCCGGATTCACCAGAATCAGTTCGAAGCACTCGCCAAGGCAGCAGACAGACCAAAGCTGGGCAATTTCATTTCAAGGACGCATGGCCAGCTTGATACAGACAGCGATGGCTTTTTTCTGCGTGTGACAAACTTAAGCTCCAATCCGTGGCTTGGCAACAGGAGGCTGAGAGCTTGAACTGATTGACTCACCGTTGCAGTTTCAAATTCTGCTCGTACCGCCCCTTTCTGCTTCTTATTCAACGATTGTTGTGGTCATTGTGGCGTTGAGACCATTCGGATTACAGTGAACTCCCCTTATGCCAAGACCCACTATGATTGTGTTGTTTGCTTTTGTTTGCTTTTGTTGCTGCTGCTGGCTCTTCCACGGCGGCTGCTGCTAGCGGTGTTGGTGTTTGCCTTGCCCGTAGCCCAGGCTTTATGTGGGGGAGGAGCTCGTGGCGCAAAGCCAGACTGTGAAGCTGGCAAATGGCCAGCTGCTCTGCTTTGCACGGCCAGAACAAGACTCAGGGAACCACGTCCATTTTCTGAAGTTCAAGGCCGGGGAGAGAAGTCAACTCTGCTATTCAGGATTGTTCCCAAACCCATCCGTGAAGGCAATGCTGGTGGAAGGACAAGCTAGCTGAAACTCAGTGTCCTGACGGTTTGCATGTCTCACGTCTCTTGTCTTCTCACGCTGAGGCCCAAGAGGAGAGGCAAGGCACTCACACGCACCCACCGTGTGCCGGATTGTAAGGTGAACCATCGCCCTTATCTTAGCATGTTGGTCAGGCGTCCACCCGTGCCAGCGCGCATGCTGCACACTTGTCTCCGCAGAGAAGTGCGCACCAGGCCGAAGTTGAAGATTTGGTCTTCGCGAGAGCCTATAGGAAAGCCACCATCGTTCGCGACAGGCGCAAGCCCGCCGCACAGTGGTGGAGGGTGCCGAGGCGCGTCTCTACGTCTCCACATACAGATGCGCGAATGTTGTCCAAGCGCACCGTCAGGTACCACACTTGCTTACGCTATCACCACCGCCACGAAAAGTGAACCAGGATGCTTCGACATCACCGAGCCGCGTGCCTTGGCAGCACACTGCAATGCACAAGCTTGAAACCTGCAAAGTTCATCTGGGCTGAGGTGAATCGAAGTGTGCAAGACGAAATTTCCGAAAGGCCTGCCGCCAAACAGCTGTTGTTAGGCTCGGAGTTGGTGGCAAGTGAGACCATGGTTGTCGGCAGAAGGGTACTGTGTAGCTGTAGCGTTGGGAAAGGGTTGGGTTACTGGCAGGGGGTATGGGAGTCAGTCTGGTGTTCATGGCACTAGTTGTCGTCCTCCAGAGTTGTCCCTTCCAGGCAGCGGCTTGGCGGCTAACGAAAGCAACAAAAGCAACAGCTGTTGTGTGATCTTATGAAACTCGAGGCCTGCCATGATTTGCCTCGAGTTGTCGGGCGATGGAGTACTTGAAGTGCCTGCGAGCGAGCGCAGAATTGGGCCAGCTTCAGTGTCTCAGCCCTTGCCACTTGGCATTTGAGTCATTTGAGTGTTTCCTTTCCAACTTGGACCCGGTGCCTGTCTGGGTCTAAGGATCGTGGGTCGAAAGCACCAGCCAGAACTTCATAAGCGCGCCGTCAACCCGCAGTGCCTGAAGTTCATGAGCCGGGATCACTTCAGCATCTCCTTTGAACGTGGACTCTTCCGCGACTTGGCATTGCAATCAGTTCTGCTCACGCAAGCACAAGCGAGACTCCCAGTAGACCTTGGGACTCCAGGCTCCAGCATAGACTCCAGCGACTCCAGTATCTCTGATCGTGGTAAATCTCTGCCTAGGAATCGAGCCTTTGACTTCCAACCCCATGTGGCGCTTCCGTCACGGCCTGGAACCGGTGGAGCTTGAACAGCAGAAGCCTGCTGAGCTGCGGTCAGGCGAATCTTCATTTGAGCCAGGCTGTTAGAGAAGTAGGCGTCAGAACAGTTAGGACATTCACTTTAGAAGGAGATCGTGTTGCGCTTGGCACCGGCAGTGCGGATGCCTCAGTTTTCCATGAGCTCCATATCACAGGGTCCTCGTACCTGACAAGTCGCCTGAAGCCGAACAGAATCGCTTTGGGTCTCGGACCCTCGGATGTGCCGGCGATTTCCAGCTTTCAACGCTTGCCACTCTGACGGCGTTTCGAGGACAACGCAGCAGAGGCCGCCCTTCAGAGTCTCTGCTGGCTCTTCACTGTTGAAGGTGCCGAGCCAAAACAGGCCTGGGGCCAGGGATTTTTGCAAGATTTGCTGTATATGTGAGTACAGATGCAAATTAAGACATACACAACTATACTTGGCCATATGCTTGTATATGTGCTATCCCTGGCAGTAAGCTATCACTTCCCTTGCACATTGGTTTGTGGGACAAGCTGTCTTTGAAGCAGGTAGTGCAAAACGCAATGGCTCCGTAACCGTGTGTGCGTAGGGTACCAGACAGCCTGGGCACGAAGTTTGGGGCACTTCAGGTTAGGACTGGGATTTTGGGCCTTAGTATTTAGCGGCTTAGGATTTGGGCCGTCAAAGGCCGGAACTTGTGCAGAACTTCGATCCAAGTGTCCTGATGTAGTTCGAAAACCCGATCCGAATTCGCCAACGCAGGGTGCGGTTTTGGATTTGCCCTCAGCGGTTGCAGATGTTGCAGTTGGTGCAGTCAGTGACGAGTCAGTGAGTCTTTCTCAGGCTGGGCCCAGGCTGAGCTTGCCGGGAGCTCGCACTCCCCCGTCACCAGGCCAGTGCTGGGCAGTGCTGGGCCGGTGGGCAAAATCTGCTGGGCGCGATTTGCAGCCGCAACATGTGGCAACGCTAGGTGGGGCCTTTCCACGAGTGTCTGAAGACAAGCCGTGGGCCATCCGCATCTTGAGGCACAGAGGGTGTCAGAAGGGAAGGGTTCCTCTTTCCAAGCTTCCAGTCTCCCTGCACACTAATCGAACCCAGTTGCTGAGATTCTTCCCAGATGTTTGGGAAGTTCTTGTGATATGGGCACCATGCATTCGTTGTGTTCCGTAATCGAGAGGCATGGTATGTGGCCTTCTGTCTCATGGTCTAAAGTGCAAGCAAAGAGAGGACGGAGGAGGCCTCGGGCCTCGACAGCCCGGCCAGCCCGGCCAGCCCAGCACGCCGGCAGCTCAGAATTCGAGAGGGGCAAACGGGTCCATTAAAGCATATTAAAGCATATTTTCAAGCCCAGTGAATTCGAATTCGAGAGGGGCCACGTAAGCGAGAGGCCATGCGAGGGTCCATTAAAGCTTCATCAAAGCCTTTTGAAGCCCAGTGCTGCAAGATGTTGGAAGTGAACTGGAAGCGTGAAGTTGATGCGTGACGGCTTTTGGAGGCGAGCGCCTCCTCTCCGAGAACGGCGCGCCAAAGGCAAAAGCCAAGAGCCGAGCTCCAAAGTATTTGTAGCCAGCGGGCAGTGCAGAGGTAGGCGCGAACTCCACAGAATGTGGGATGCCTACTGACAAAGAGGACGCAAAATAAACATGCTTAGAAAGCATGTTCAGTTCAGACCATGCGTCGGTGGTATGGCCACAGTCTCGGCCATGCATGAATTCAGAGTCCTTGCTGAGCAAGGAACGAATTGTAGGACGGGACTTGCATCCCCAGCTCGTTCACTATCCCGACTCTTCGTTCAATTGTGTTGCCAACGACATCCCAGCTACATACGGTTTGGAGGAATTTAGGCTATGTGATGGTACAAGAGTAAAAGAAGGAGGCAAGTCTTATGTCATTCAAATCAGCCGTGTGCTGGCACAGGCTCTTTTGCAGCACGCGTGCTCTGATTGAGCCCTTAGATCGGTGCTTTTCCCTTCCAAGTCCGCACAGCAAAATTCCAGTTTGCCAATGCCGAGTCCTTAAAGCGGCATTTCCGTGCCTGCGCTGGGGGTGATGTGGCTGAGCAGACCGTGTACCGTTGCGAAGCCTTTTGGTTCAGGGCCATGACGTCAGCTCGATGTTCGGCAGTCCCCTCAAGGCACGGGCCGACCTTGCGTCTGGGCAGGCGGCCAGCCCCTCGTTTGGGCGGCCGGGAGGGACAGCACTCCGTGCTGTTCCAGGACAACCGGGTACACAGCGCCTGCCGCGAGCAGTCGTTGAGCATCTGCGACTCGTTCATCTCACACAGTTGGATGAACTCTCGGATCTTCGAACGAGACTTCGAGCCACAAGGCGCAGGGAGTCTCAAAAAACTCGTGCGGCGTGAGTCTGCAGCAGATACACATCTCTCCACACCTGTCTCGGCAGGGATTTGGAGCGTCGGAGGCATGATCTGCAGCAGCAGCTTCTGGTGGTGCGGCAAAAGGAGGCGGGCCATGGCGGGCTTCACTTTCCTTCGCATGCTTTCCAGCCGGCACCCGTGTCCCAAAGGAGCGACTGTCTGCAGAAGTGGCTGCTGGCGCCCGGCACCTTGCTGGGAGGCACAAGGAACAAGGGATGCTCCGTGCCCAGGCAGCATGTGACGCTGGCAGAACGCTGACTTGTAGGTGGTGGCGGGCACATGCGGTGCGCTGTTACGTTGGTGCGCTTTTTTTTGGTTATTAAGCCTTTCGAAGCTTATTCGAGATGTCAAGAGGCGTCCATTGGCGACCATGTCACAACCACTGGTATCCGGGTTAACAAACTCCATCTCAGGAACCGAAACACAATATAACAAAAGAGTGAAACTTTTCCTAAGAAACGGAATAGTTTCCTGGATGTCCAGCTAATTACCGTGCTTTTCCTCCAAATGGCGCTACCTTTCGTGTCGCTTTACGCATAGACTGCAACAGGGCGCCCTCTGCGCCCGCACCCTTGTAGTGATAGTCAGGACCATCAGCTTCCTTGGATGGATCTTGGGACTTGTGCTTTTGTGCTTAGCATCAAACGAAAGAGGAGGAAGGACTTTGGGGGTGGGGGGGGGGGGAACAACCAAAATCTCATTCATGTCGTCCGGCCTCACCTTGAAGATGCCCCAGCCAGGGAAACCCGACGGGACGCGCCCCCCTCAAACCATCCCACGATTCTCGAGTTCTGCTGGTGACATGCTTATGCCAGGAAGGCGTGTCGTCCTTGCGGACGAACATGTACGAACATGCTAAGCCTGGCCTAACGCCGAACTGGGCGCAGTTGTGCCCATGCTGAGTGCATTGGCCAGTGATTTCAGGCCTCGAGCTCGCTGAGCTGGAGAAGAGCTGCAGCAGCGCGGAGGCCCACATCCTGGTCCTGCGCAACATTGCCGAGAAGCTGGCGCTGGCCGCCCCTTCGACTGAAGACCCCAACAGGAGAGTGTGGATCCAGACTTGGGCCCCGAAGCGATCACCTTCCTAGCTCGATATTTTACGGAAGGATTCTGAAGGGCAATCAGGGCAGTTGTTCAGTTGTTCCTAAGGAAGAGCCGGAAGCTCCGGCATCTGTGGAGCCGGCAGATGCAGAGGTGGCAAATGCGGTTGAGGCAGCTCCATTGCACAAATTCCGCACTCCCCCCCCCCCCCACCCCCCAAATTGAACTTCTTGAGTTCTACGTTTCAGGTCAAAGCGGAGGTATCAAGGAAAGAGCATGGCCAAGACATGTCGGAGCGCTCAGCCGCGCCAGCCAGCCTCAGCAAAGAAGTCCAGCAGGTGCTGACGGCGCCAAATGGGCCCACAGAGACTGAGCCTCAGACGGCTGTGGAGCCGACCACAGAGCTGGCAGCCCAGGGACCAATGGCATTGGAGCCACAGAAGCCGCACGAGGATGAAGCAGCGAGAAGAGCACCAGCTTCAGCAGGAACATGGGCAGGAGCAGCAGAAACAGCAACCGTCGTAGCCGAGCTTGAAGACGGGGATGCGAAGAAGCGTCGTAGATGGCAAAAGCCGAAGGAAGTCCAAGCCGATAAAGCAGGAGCCGTCGACGTCGCAGGGCGCGACGAGGAAGGCCTGGCAGCACAGCCCGGCGAGCGGCCACCAGACTCGGAGCCACCAGGAGATCAGCATGCGAGCTCCCATGCGCCGCAGCCGAACATCGCCTTGGCTCCGCAAGTTGAGCCTGCGCGCGAGCAAGGCCGGAAACAGGATGAGGCAGAGGCGGAAGGGCAAACTGCAGTGGGTGTAGCTGGGCCTAGGCGCAGCTCGGCGGGCGCCGGCCACGATCAGTACCTCGCAGTTGGGGCCAGCAGCCCACCAGTCCCGGATGGTGTTCAGTCTGCACAGCCAGCGCAGGCCGAGCAGCTTGCGCAGGCAACGCAGCACCCGCGGCCTGAGCAGAAAGCACAGCGTGAGCAGACCGAGCCGCCCAAGCAGACCGAGCAGACCGAGCAGACCGAGCCCACCGAGCCCACCGAGCAGACTGGACAGACTGGGCAGACCGCGCAGCCGTTGCCTGAACAAACGGCTGAGGCTCGTGTGAGAAAGACTTGGCTGATGTCACTGATGTCCGGCATTTCACGTAGGATCTTCGCTCGTGCCAGCTTGTCCTGCAGGAAGTTCAGGGGGCCGTGGAGCCCACGACTGTGGAGCCTACGACTCTGGAGCCCGCGGAGGCACAGCCGACGAAGCTGGACACGCTTTCGGTGTAATGGTGGCCTCGCATGAGCCTGCACTTCATAATATGCAGATATATTGAGATATTTTGAGTTTTGAGATGCATTAAGTTATTAACCCCGGCTGCCTATATTAAGCGTACGTTACCAGGGTTAGACATCTAGTCATGTGATTGCTGATTGCGGTTGGCGAAGGTTGTGCCTTGCTGTGCCTTTCGTTGCAAGGGGTCTAACGCAACCTGCAACCGCTCCATGCCCAGCAAAGTAGACACACAGGTGGTGCCGATGCCGCTAAATGTAAAAGCGGAAGGGAAGACGTCAAAGATATCTGCCGAACTGGATGCTGTGAATCTGGCCACGGAGCAAGCAAAGATGGCTGGCAAAGGGCTTGCCGTAGACAAGCCGCAAGAGGGGGAAGATACAGCAGCAGCAACAACAGCAGCCGAAATCCAAACTTGGGATCGCTTGAAGGAAGCAGGAATGGCTCTTGCAGGTGTCGTTGCCACCGAGGGCGCAGCCAAGGCTCCAGATGGCCTTCTTCCAGATGGCGAAGAAGGCCGGGCATCCCAGCCCGACGAGCGGCCACCAGACTCAGGGCCACATGCGGATCAGCATGCAGGCGCCCATGAGCTGCAGCCAAACATCGCCTTGGCTCCGCAGGTTGAGCCTCCACGCGAGCAAGGTAGCAAACAGAATGAGGCACTGGCCGAGGAGCACATGTCAGTCGCCTCCACTGGACCTACGCAGGGTGCTGTGGTCACTGGCCAAGACCAAGGCCTTGCAGAGGCCAGCAGTCATCCAGACCCAGATGGTGTTCAGGTTGCACAGCCAGCGCAGATCGAGCAGCTTTTGCAGGCTGGTCAGACCGAGCAACGAGCGCAGGCGCCGGCACAGTCGGAGCCGCCAACGCATCCTCTTGATGAAGCAGGAGAGGCTTGCGTAGAGGGCGCAGCCAAGGCTCCAGATGACCTGGCAGCACAGCCCGGCGAGCGGCCACCAGACCATGCGCCGCAGCCGAACATCGCCTTGGCTCCGCAAGTTGAGCCTGCACGCGAGCAAGGCCGGAAACAGGATGAGGCAGAGGCGGAAGGGCAAACTGCAGTGGGTGTAGCTGGGCCTAGGCGCAGCTCGGCGGGCGCCGGCCAAGATCAGGGCCTCGCAGTTGGGGCCAGCAGCCCAACAGTCCCAGATGGTGTTCAGTCTGCACAGCCAGCGCAGGCCGAGCAGCTTGCGCAGGCAACGCAGCACCCGCGGCCTGAGCAGAAAGCACAGCGTGAGCAGACCGAGCCGCCCAAGCAGACCGAGCAGACCGAGCAGACCGAGCCCACCGAGCCCACCGAGCAGACTGGACAGACTGGGCAGACCGCGCAGCCGTTGCCTGAACAAACGGCTGAGGCTCGTGTGAGAAAGACTTGGCTGATGTCACTGATGTCCGGCATTTCACGTAGGATCTTCGCTCGTGCCAGCTTGTCCTGCAGGAAGTTCAGGGGGCCGTGGAGCCCACGACTGTGGAGCCTACGACTCTGGAGCCCGCGGAGGCACAGCCGACGAAGCTGGCGCCAACGAATATGGAGCCGGCAGGTTCTGGCGAGACAGTTGCCTCGCAGGAGCAGGCAGGTGAGTTGGTACAGCATGCTATCTCCATCATTTGCGCTAGCACTGTTTGTGAAGCACATGCCGGATGCTGATGCTTTCTGCTACCTGCAGAACTGCAAAGTGGCGGAGTGGAACTTAATAAGTGCATTTCACACTTCATGCGTGCGACAGGCTGCAAGGGAGGATGATCAGGAGGAGGCTGCGTACAAGCAGCGAATAGAGGAGGCAGCCAAGCGCATGTCCGCCATTGAGGGAATGGACGATCTGCTGGCCGAGCTGCAGGCTCAGGAAGTGGAGGAAGAAGAGGGTCAGGAGGAGGAGGAAGAGGAAGAGGCTGAGGAGGAGGAGGAGGAAGAAGTAGTGGAGGCCGGAGAGGAGCCGGACGACGAAGCCGTGGAAACAACAGAGAGAGCCCATGAAGTGCCTGAGAATTCTGACGAGGCTTACACTTCCACCCTGCCCGAAGTCCCGCGGGTGGCGCCAACCGGAGAAGCAAATGATGGCCCCCCGACAGCCACAATGGCACTCGCAGAGGAAGTGGAGGAAGTGGAGGAAGTGGATCTGCAAGCTTCTGAACCTTCTGAACCGGCAGCACCTGCAGAGGCCACAGGAGCCGCTGAGGCAGGAGAAGTAGAGGAAGGATTGGAAGGAGCTCCAGAGAAAACTGCGGGCGAGCTTGAAGACGGGGATGCGAAGAAGCGTCGTAGGCGGAAGAAGCCGAAAGAAGTCCCAGCCGATGAAGCCACAGCCGTCGACGCCGCAGAGGGCGACGAGGAAGGTCTGGCAGCACAGCCCGACGAGCAGCGACCAGACCCAGAGCTAAGTGGGGATCATGCGCCGCAAGTTGAGCCTGCACGCGAGCAAGGCCGGAAACAGGATGAGGCAGAGGCGGAAGGGCAAACTGCAGTGGGTGTAGCTGGGCCTAGGCGCAGCTCGGCGGGCGCCGGCCAAGATCAGGGCCTCGCAGTTGGGGCCAGCAGCCCACCAGTCCCAGATGGTGTTCAGTCTGCACAGCCAGCGCAGGCCGAGCAGCTTGCGCAGGCAACGCAGCACCCGCGGCCTGAGCAGAAAGCACAGCGTGAGCAGACCGAGCCGAAGCAGACCGAGCAGACCGAGCAGACCGAGCAGCCTGGGCAGACCGCGCAGCCGTTGCCTGAACCAACCTCTGTCAAGCGAGACTCAGACGCTGGACCGCCTCAGTCTGGAAGTCAGCAGGGTGAAGAGTTCGACACGTTCGAGTGCGAAGCGGGGGATGAAGTCCGAGAGTTGGGCATTTTTCCCGCAGCATTTCCTCCGGATCCAGTGGAGATCTACTCTGTCACGGAAGGCTCTTGGGCGTCCAGGCAGGGTGTGGTGCCCGGCGACATCCTTGTAGCCATCAATGGGCAGCTCGTCCCTGACAAGAAAGACATGAAACGGCTGATGAGAGAGCGGCCTTTGCGCCTGACCTTTCAAAGGCCCTTGGCCTTTGAGACCGCAGAGGAATCTGAGGCATCAGATGACATTGGTGATGCGGGTGATAGTATGGGTGACGGTATGGACAAGTTTGAGTGCAGGGCTGGGCAGGATGTCCAGGACTTGGGAATCTACCCGTCAGCATTTCCACCAGATCCCATGCTGGTGGCAAGAGTTGCTGCAGGGTCTTGGGCGGCAGAGCAGGGCATCTTGGCCGGAGATGAACTTCTTGAGATCGGAGGCCGGCCAGTTCAAGAGTTGACTGCCAAAGAAGCGAAGCGAGCAATGAGGGAGCGGCCTCTTCTGCTGGTTGTCCAGCGTGCCGACCAACTGGAGCCGTCCTCCTCCTCGGCACCGGCCTCCTCACCTTCGTCTCCGCAGAAATCGGCGAAGCCACGGAAATCCAGCTCACCTGAGACTGACGATGCCCTCACTCAGGCTAGGAAGTCCTTGGCGGCCATCTTGCCTGAGAACATGAACCCTTTCAGTGGTGCAGCTTCGAGCCTTCCGTGCATGCAGCAGCAACATGTGGGCAACATGTGGGCAACATGTGGGCAACATGTGGGCAACATGTGGGACATGAACGGGATCCGTTGTTATGTTCCGTTCTGTTATGTTCTGTTATGTGCTGTTATTTTCTGTTATGTTCTGTTATGTTCTGTTATGTTCTGTTATGTTCTGTTATGTTCTGTTATGTTCTGTTATGTTCTGTTATGTTCTGTCATGTTCTGTCATGTTCTGTCATGTTCTGTCATGTTCTGTTATGTTCTGTTATGTTCTGTTATGTTCTGTTATGTTCTGTTATGTTCTGTTATGTTCTGTTATGTTCTGTTGTGTTGTGCTATGCCCAGGAGCTCTGGAACACGCAGGCCCAGACCTCATCGGATCTCATCTCGCCACACCGCGCACGCACGTGACATCTTGTGACGATGACATGACATGACGTGCTGTGCCGGAGAGCTTCCTCACGACAGGTCCAAGATCACAGAGAACGTCGAGGGACTTCGGACGTCGAAAGTGGCATTCCAAGAAGAGGCACGCCGCTTTCGAGACAGATAGGCCTGCAAGGCTGCTGAGGGACCCAGGGAGCCGTACCTGTGTTACAAAGCACAGGCAGTGGAGGAGGATGGTTGGGATGACGATGACGACGACGACGATTGGAAGCAGCCCGCGGCAACCAAGAAGGGAGAGAAAAGCACTAAGGACGCTGGTAATGACAAGAAGGAAGACAGAAAGGCGGACAAGAAAGGTGAGAAGAAAGGTGACAAGAAAGAAAAGGATGCGAAAGTTGACAAGGCCCAAGGCAAGCCTGAGAGTGACAAGAAGGAGAAGGACAAGGCCAAAGACAAGGAGAAGCCAAAGGACAAGGCAAAGGAGAAGGAGAAGGCAAAAGAACCTACCAAAGAGAAGGAGAAAAAGGATCAACCTCCGCAGGGGCTCCAGCACGTGAAGTCAATGAAGTAACGATTAAGTCATGTGCCCTTTTCCATGTTTGTTTCTATGCCGTCGTGGAATGCAGTGTGGTGTGGTTTGCTAAGACCCCTGCTGGCCTATGCCTCCGCCAATGAAGCCCGCCTCGGATTCAAAGTCGATTGGCCGCCCAATCCCTGCTATGTCAACAAGGAGGGGGGCCTAGTCGGGCATTGGCGTTCCCGCATGTTCCCTCGCTGTCTCAGAGTGCTTCAGAGTGCCAAGTCTTGGAGGTAGACCGAAACAGCTGGGCGGAGATGGCGCAGGCGGGACCGTCGGCAAACGTTTGCCTCGGAATTCTGGACGGCTCGCGCTTTTCACTTACCAACCCCCGCTCGCACAGTGCAGAACGAGCGGCAGGACCTGAGATGAAGACTGTAACAAGCGCATGCCAGCATACTGCAACCATACATGAGACATGAGAGAAAAGGACACTAGATCTAGACCAAGACGCGAGGTTGGCAGTGCACATTCATGCCTTGTTTTGGTTTATAGATGTGTTTGTAATTCAAAGGGCACGTAGACTCCTAGAGCATCGGGCGGCCAGATGCCATGTACATGGCAAGGATATGCCAAGGAGAAGGGAATGAACGCGGCGTGCACGAATCCGAGCGTTCAGGTATACTCAGGCGGGGATGAAAACAGAACGTGGGGAGAGAGAGAAAGAGAGAGAGAGGAAGAAGAGAGGAAGAAGAGAGGAAGAAGAGAGGAAGAAGAGAGGAAGAAGAGAGGAAGAAGAGAGGAAGAAGAGAGGAAGAAGAGAGGAAGAAGAGAGGAAGAAGAGAGGAAGAAGAGAGGAAGAAGAGAGGGAGGATGGAAGGAAGGAAGGAAGGAAGGAAGGAGGAAGGAAGAAGGAAGGAAGAAGGAAGGAAGGAAGGAGGAAGGAAGGAAGGAAGGAATGAAGGAAGGAAGAAGGAAGGAAGAAGGAAGGAAGAAGGAAGGAACGAGGAGGAAGGAGGAATTCTAATTGTGGTGAATTACTGATGTCCTTGGGGGGCGCGATCTTCGCCAAAGAGATGCGCAACGGCAGCTGGCCGCCAGCGACCACTAGTCTGCAGATGATGAAGCTGGAGCGTGAAGTTCGAGCACTGAGGCGCTGATCGCCGCACGAGGGCAGCCGGGTTCCTTTTAAAGCTTTATGAGCCAAGGCTGGGAAATTACTTGAGCCTATGTTCGGTGAAATCGGAGCAAAGGCCACGACGTAGGAAAGAACACGGACTGGGCAAGCCAGACCGGCAAGAGCAGGTCTGTTCGTGTGAGGTGGAAGAGGTTGACTCGTGTGGGGAGGGGGTGTGTCATGTGAGAAAATTGAACGAGTCTCGAACCGGGTAGTCGGCCTTTGGTGTTACCGATGCCATGCCAATAGCTGCAAGTGGCGTCAGCTGTCTAGAACGAGCACCGGGCGCCCTTAGACTAGCAGGAAGCGTATGGATGTGGAAGAAGTCGGGTGGTCGGTGGACCTGGGAAGTTTTTGGGGCATGTTGCATGCCAGCACAAGTCCAGTGTGCCGCCGACTGCTGTACCGCATCCACCGGGTGTGCGGGGCGGAGGGGTTTCTATCCTCAACCTTAACCCCGTCGAAAAGAAGAAGGAAGGAAAGAGAGATAGAGCGAGAGAGAAGAGGCAGACCGTCAGACCATTCAAAATGTCCTAGGGGAGCACATGACGCCATGAAAGGCGGGATGCAGCGTGAACAGGCCGCAACAACCACCGCCCCCAACAGTCAGGATTTCTGAAGCAAATTTGGATGCAGTATCCTGTGAGAGAAAACAGGAGCGCAGGCGTTCTGTAATGATTCAAGGTGGAAGTTGGTCTACGATTAGACAGAGCTGGTGGGAAAGACGTGGCGAAGATGAGCAAGGCATGACAGTCTCTTCCAGGTGATGCGGTGCTCCAAGTTTGACGGTGGCGTTCGTGCGAGGAGAAACTGAAAAAGATTCTGGACGAAACTCGGCCACTCGAATTGGCATTTGTGAAAGACAAGGTGGGTACGCTGGACTCGCCGAATGCTTCCAGCGAGTTTTGGCAATGTGTAAGTCCGAGACTGAACTCAAAATTCTTGTGCAGAAGAAGAAGAAGCCGCCCACTGCCAAGCCTGAGAATGACACAGTCTTGGGAGGAATGTTCGGATGAGTAGCTAGATTCCGAAGTGAAGATCATTTCACCATTTCGCCGCCTTTCCAAGAAAGTCTGTGCGAGCAAAACGCCTCTCATGCCGATCTCTGCTGTTGCCTCACGCTGAACATATTCGGCAAGGGTCAAGGCCACAGAATGATGAGGCATGATGAGGTGTTCCTTGCGTTTCTGGCTCTGAAGCGGCGCGCCGTGCAGACAGTGTTCTTGGGTGAGCCGTCGGCATGTGAAGGGCTAGTCAGGCTAGTCAAGTCAGTTTGTAAAGAACCGAGGAAGGATATGTGGAATGCTAGCGCTCAGAGCGGCTCAGTAGGCCGCACGCCTTCGTAACCCTGCGACTGGTTTTGATTCTTTCTCCAAGCAGAGTAGCTACTTTACACAGATCGACATTCAAGCGTACATGGCTTCGGCAACAGGCCCTGCCGTTGAGGACTGCAGCGCCCAGCGTGGTGCTGCGGGCGCTGCGATGCAGGCGCTTCGTGCGAGCCTCCCGCCTGTCCAACCGGCCAAGGGCACAAAGAGATGGAAGAGTGGATCCAAAGGCAACTTGGCTTCGGTCCAAGTCACGTGTTCCTGCTTGATATTGGTGTGGAGATGCATAAGCCTCGTAAACAACCTAAGCATGGTCGGCTTCCGGGTCAAGGGGAATGTCCAATCCCAACATGCTCCGCCCTTTCGCTCACCTTTATCCTTCATGCCCTTCGTGTGTGCTATACAGTTCCTAGGTTAAGTCAAGCTGTCCATCATCACTTTCGTTGGGATACAGTTTTCGTTTGTGCTGTGTGTTCAAGTTTGTTCAATGTGCTGGGGCATGTGACCTGCTAGGTCGTGATCCCGCCACAGTTGCTTGATCCCATTTCGTCCTGCGGATGCAAGCTTGATTTTCTGCATCCTGCGCAGAAGGTTCGGAATGCTGGTGTGAGTCCACCGAGGAGCTTTCCAAGAGAAGTGGAGTGGATGAGAAGCTCTTTGAGTTATGTGAGTATAAGACCATGACCATGATGCAGTTTCAAAGCATTTAAATGGGGTCAAGATCCAAAGCCTCACACATCGAGCCAGTCCTTCAGAGACGGTGGGGCAGTTTGCATGTGGACCCTGCCGGCAGAAGGGCAGCAACTCCAGCGGCCCAGTTGCAGGTGAAAGTTGCGCCCGCCATGCCACACCGTGCGGCCTCTTGCATCTTAATTTCCAGCCCCGCCGCATAGTCCGCGTTGCGGGCCTGAGTCCCTTGCGGCTTGGACCAGCTAGGCTCGGTGTCTGACCATGCTTGGACGCAGCTGAAGCTGAACAATGTCCGATAACCTCCCCCCTCTTCTGCAAAGGCCACATGAGTGATTGAACATCGCGCCTAGGCAGGGCTCGAGACCTTCGGGGCTCATTTGGGGGCCATTATGCAAAGCGCCCTGTGTGCCAAGCTTTCCCGACAGCCTGCCCAGGCTAAAGACTGCAAGCTTTGCTGATTGTTTCGGGATAACATCTCGCATGTTTCCAGTTGACCAGAGAGGATCAACAGGCTTAGCGTCTTGGTGCTCGACGTGCTGTTGCCAGAGTTTTTGGGTCTTTGGGGTGTCGGTTCGAGCTTTTACTGAGTCCTGGTCAGTGTCAGTACTCGGTTCTGCTGTGAGCCACGGCTGTCAGTTGTTGTGACTGGCCGGCCCGCAAAAGGGCGGTGTGACTGCAGCAGCAGCCAGCAGTTCACGGAACTCTGGCTTCCACAGCCGGCCAGACGCACAGCAGTGACATTCAGTTGACCCTCCCTGCGAATCGACTTCCCACCAGATGTACATGCCATCTTGGCATGACATCAGTTCGGAACGTTCCCTCATTGCACAGCATCGAATACTATGGTGCCGAGCTGCGCTCCTGCACAGGCTTTGATTGAGGTAGGTTGTCTTCAGTTGCCTTGTTGGAAAAGACATCCACCCAGATGCTGCAGGCCAACCACGGCCACAAGTTGTGCCTCTTGCTTGCTATGTTTTGCTCTGCAACAATCTTGACCTGCTCCACTGCTCCATTGACGGGTCGACACATCGACGGAAGCACTGAGCTTGGCTAGCAGATTCAAAGTCTTCTGGCCAGAGGCTCATGTTGGCTCCCGTCCCTTGCATTTTTTGCTTGAAGCAGTCCTTCGGTTGTTTGAAGCAGCCTGGGCCTGCGGCCTGTAGGTCACTGCAGTTCTTGCATTCCCCTACGTTGCCTCATCTTTGAAGTGCACCGGGTGCTCCGCGCTTCGCAAACTTGTCAGGAAGGACACTCGCAGGTGTCTGCTTTTGTCGCCACCGACCAGGTGTTAGATTCGGGCTGATATCGGCAGGGGGCAGACCCCAGAGGTGGGAGACACGGTCCTTCAATAGGACTCTCAATCGGACCGTCAAGTTGTCCTCAAGCTGATGATCTTGCCGAATTGTGTCCTTGGTAGTGCGGTTGTCGTTTAGTGCTCGCTGGCGACCGAAACTGCGGCGTCACGGCTGCGCATCTGCAGTTAAAGGCCGTCAGGCCTCCCATCAACACCTTTGTGGCATCGCTCTGGAGCCGTCTGTAGTCTAGTGGCAGACCGGCAGACAGGTGTCGAAGTACGTTCGATCTGGTAGGTGTGCGACCAGCACGTTTTACCAAGAGGATGGCATTGGTGTGCGTGAAGCCAAACGCGATTTGCAAAGCACTGGGCTCCTGAACCTGCTACGCCCGGTACTGAAAATCCATGTGAGGCCGGTGTTCATGTGACGCTCTGAAGGGCTGATGCTGCCGGACTCTTCAAGACAATATCTGCTCGAGGTCACTATTGCGAGGGCTTTGCACAGTACAGAAGCGCTACGGGCAAGTGGAGTGGTCCCAGTTACGTCAAAAGCGCTGCAGACAGGCTATGCCCATTTCGAAGGTTAAGTTTGCCTGCTCCATCCCAATCTGTCCATATGCGACTTGTGCGCTGCTGCAAGCTTTTGGGGCAACTTCGCTTCGGATTCCATGGTGCTGAGAGACAGGCAGTGGGCTCAGCTTGTGTGAGGGGATTTATGGGAGCATGAAATTGCAGGCCTTCTTTGTGCTCTTGGGTAACTGGGTAAGGACCATCCTGGGCTGCCGACCGTCACTCCAGGCTGGGATTAAGGGCAAAATTACATCTGTAGGACACGATGCCCGGTGCTTTTCAGAGAGCAGACGCAGTTCCTACAGTATTGTTTCTTGCTCGTGCCTTGCGCAGGCGAATGCTTCAGCATTGCGCCGTTTGAGCTCATGAGCATTTCGCATGTCTCCTGTTTCGCTTCTCTCGGGCATGGGTGTGGCGGCCTGGCTTCCAGCAGATGTCCTTCATGTTTCTTGAATCCGGAAGACGGGTCCGCAAAAACACCTTCGTGCGCCCATGGCTTAGCAACTTACTTGATACTGGACCGAAGCATCCGCTGCAAGCAGTGGTCTTTGTCGATCCGAGAATGCAGGAGAATGCAGCCCCTTTTGCAGCCGGCTTGTTAGAGCGTTAGATCGTTGGACAGCGCAGTTTGCGTTGTTGCAGCAGCGAAGCTGAGATGCAGCGGAGGGCAGCCGACAGCTTAGACTGGTGTGACTGGGTATGCCCAGACATGCTCGAGTCGAGTGCGAAAGTCATTGATTTTCCATCAATGAAGAGGCCTTCATATCCCAAATCCACATGCTCGATAGTGACTCCGACAGTGGCCGCAGCAAGCCCCCTTGCGATCGAAGACAGGCTATTTTTGTCCTGATGGAAACATTGGAGACATAGGCCACGCTTCTCGTTGTCTCCCAAGACTGAGGTTCAGAAGCTTTCCATGTCGCGGTGAGATGCTGGGCGTGCGTGGCACAAACCCACAATCCCATGCCTGATGCAAAAGTCATTTTTTACTAGCTTTTGAAACTTCGAGGCTGCGTGCTTGCATACAGTCCTCGGCAGTCACAATGGGGTTGGTCCTCATTGCGTTATGAGGGTGCTTGAGGTGCGATGCCATGCTCATCTCCTTGGTCCCTTACAGTTTAAAGAAACCTCTGAGCATTTTCCGCGGCCTCCTCGCGCGGAAGGGCATCGTAAAACTTGTGGCCTGACGTACACCGGCGCGCACCTCTGTCGGTCCTCGACCTACCAGAAGCCGGCTACCCTGCAGCCACACGCTGCACGTTTGAAATTCTGTGTAAAGTCAGAGCTTTCCAGGTCCAAGTGCTGATGCTGGCCCCTTTGCACACCGGTGCAGCGAGAAAGCCAAGATTTGCCAGATGTGCTTTCAAATGACAGGAACGGCCTGTCAGATGCGCTGCCTTTTTGCAGGTGGCACTTTGAGATCTTCTTCCGGAACGATTTTGTGTAAAGTTTAAAAAAGGTTTGCAGTTTCGGAAACCCACAGTGGGAGCCCTCTCTCCCAAAGCCATAGTAGCAGCTTAGTGCCATTTCCTTCGTCATGACGTGATTGGTTCGATGTGGGCCAACCTGCAGTTTGCCGTTTCTAGCCAGCCCCAGGCACTGTGCTTTAAAGTCTCTCGAGCCTTGGCCGGTGTCTGCAAGAGCTCCCACTTGATGCAAACGCTTTGTGCCCTTCGGGTATAGGCTCTGCACGACGACTGTCATCTCAGTTCAGACGAACTGAGGTTTCCTAGTTTGCTTGTTCTCGCTTCTTCTTGTCACTGGCACTCGATTTTGCCCTCCGGCCCTCCGGCCCTGCGCGACTCTGTGGCGCCACAGACAAGACAGCGCTCCATCCGGTGCTCTCCACTTGAGCTGAGCTGCCCTGCGCAACTGTCACTTTCAGGCTGAGCGCCAGGCGCCCAGGGCGCGCCAGCGATGTCAGAACTGTCAGAGGCCGCACCTGCCAGATGGCATTGTGGGGCCATTCAGTCATTCAGTTTTGTGAAAGTCTTGAGTTCTTTTTCTGGCCCTCCATGACTGTTTAAAAAATCGGGCATGCCACCGCTAAGATGAAATCTTCTCTTTGATCATCCTAGATCCTAGAGTAGAGCTGTCGTGCGTGGGGTGCTGCAGCTGTTGGCGAGAAGGTGAG